AATTACCTGTTTGCTAAAATCATTACATCTATCTTATGTTCATCCATGTTCCTGTACTCTTCTCCTTTATTTTAAGCTTTTTTAAGGACATCTGGTTTTGTATTAGTAGGGGCATCCACAGGTACTACAACATCCTTTACCATAATTTTTTATTCCTAGGAATATATTTATATAGCTTACCTTCATCTAGTTAAGCATCTGACTTTGTCTTGAAACTAAAGCTTATGCTTTCATAGAGCTTTTACGAGCTGATTCACTTTACTACATTCCTAAATCCACACTTTGTCTAAGAATTTAGAAACCCGCAACAATTTGAGGATTTGTAGGCTATGTGAAGTTCTACTATCCATCATTTAATTGTCGATACTAAGCCATTCACAATAAATTATGAAAAATAATATCTAATGAAATTCATTCCATCACACTTTAAAATATAGAATCTCAATAATGAACAAAAGATTGCATCACTAATTAAATCCATATATGTAAAATTATTCTGATCTAACGATAATTAAACTTAACATTGTAAAAAATATACCCTTATTCATCCAATCCACAATCATATACTTATTTATTTCTTAGATATAAGTAAAATATGTTTACAAATTCAGAACTACAGAATCTATGAAGAAACTAATAGATAATAAAGTATAATCAAATTTGAACTATTTAACTTGAAGTCTTGTAATAGCACTTATTGCATTAAAGTTAAGAATTCATAATTGAAGATAGAAAAATTGTAGAAAACTTAATTACAATAATGAGAACACTAAATTCTAATTTAATGGAAATCTTTAAAAAAGAGAGAATTTTTACTTATTATTTAATGCATACAGAAGATAATAAAAACAATATAGAGTTACTTTTGATCTCAAAAGAAATTCTGAATATATTTTGATGGAATTAAATGAGAAACTAAAAGCTTATATTTTAAAGTTTAATTATAATCATTTCAACAGCATTTTGATACTTGTTACTCTTTTTATTTTTCAATCATTTCTTCAGTCATTTATGATCCAATACGTACACCAATAGACTTAAAATATTATAATAAATAATACTTCATTTGTTGCATCAATGTCTCTTTATTCTATTTTTTTTAGGACAGCTTCAGCTGCTTCTTAGAATATCTAATATATATTATGTGATAGAAAATACTTTATCAACTTAAAATCCTGTTTTTGCAGATGCCTCAACGAAAATCAAATCATGCTTTTTAGCATATGTTTATCCCTCCTCTGTAGATATAACTCTTCTAATAGAGTTTTATATATAAATTTACTTATCTGATAAATCTGTCTTATTAGCAACTAATACAAGTGTAATTTTATCATTTGCATAGCTTTTTGTTTCTTCCATCCATCTACTAATATTCTCAAAACTGTCTCTACTAGTCACATCATACACAATTAATGCACAGATTGATCCTCTATAATATGATCTAGTAATTGATTTAAAACTTTCTTGTCCAGCCTAAAATAATTAAATTAGTTTATACAGTGTCCCAAATTTATAGTTTTATATTCTTTTATCTAATATTTAAAGTCTTGCTTCCAAACTCTACTCCTATAGTAGTATCATGATCCAACTTAAATTTCCTATCCAAAAATTATAAAAGTAAACATGATTTTCCAACACCTAATCTTTTTAAGAAATAAAATTACTTGAATCTCCAATAATAATAAATTTAAACAAGTATGCATAAGAACTCATCAGAATAAAAAATTATTTATATTAATATTAAAATCTTATTAATAATTATTATTACATTTTAAATGCTGAATTTGTAGAAAATTTGGAAATTATATACATTATAATGAAGTTTCTTATCAATTCTATTCAACAACAGGAACTTCGATTAGTTTTTTTCTTAATCTCATGAACAATAACTTATTTTTATAAACCTCGAACACCCATTAATTCATCTAATTTACCATTTTCTTTAAATTTTTTTATAAAATCCAATAGTTCTCCAGTAAATTTAATGATAATAGAATCAATACTTTAATAATTCTCATCTTAAGTCAATGAAACAACACTACTTGATGTTTGAGAATACTACATTTGATGTGTGGCTGCAAATTATTCACCTTCTTCAAATTGTATGAAATGCCTTACAATTAAATAACAATTCACTTTTACCTATCATTTCCACCATCCTTTCCTTAATCATTATCATAAAAAAGTTTATCACATTTATTACCAACTAATCTAATTACTATTTTCTCTTAATCAACATATTATTGAATTTCTTCATACCATTTTTTTAGATTCTCATAACTATCTCTATTAGAAAGATCGAAAATTAAAAGTATTCCAATACATGTTCTATAATGAACCCATGCCATAGAACGAAATGGTTCTTTTCCAGACTTTAATTCATATTTAAATGTTACAATATCAATAAGTTTTAATTAAACCTACTTCTATCCTGCCATAATCTCCTTATGATGGATAGCTATCTTATCATTATGTCGTTGAACAAATGAATTAGTTAAAAACATTGATAGAAATGTTGATTTTCCAACACCTGAATCCCCTATAATTGCTATACTTAATTCCCATTCACTTGATAGCATTTAGAAGAATTTTCTGTTTTTCAATTAATAATTAACATTTATAATTAGAATCTGAAAATAGTTAATTATTATCAATTTTTATATTAAACACTTAGAATTTCTTTTATTTTTCATAATTTTCTAATTATAAATATTATGATTTAAAATAGTATTCAATCTATCCTCTTCTAAAATTAGAGTCGTAGTATTTTTTTCTAACTCCTTAAACTATTACACATTATCTGATAAAACTGCAATTTAATATCCTTAATTCTTTTTTTATTTTCTCTTTTTATTTAATTTTAATTCTTTAAAATATAATATACTCAATTTATGATTGCATCTTTTTAATAATAACCATCAATCAAATATCTAATTTGTTTCAATAATTTTTGATTATCTAATTTTAGTAATAAATTTCTATTCTTTCATTTTCTTTATTTAATTAATTAATTTTATTCATCTTAAAAGATTTAACATTAATCATTTAATTATTTTTCTAATTTTCTTTATTAATTTTAATCCTATTTCTATTAAATTTCTTCTATTTTACTAATTAAATTATAAACATATTTATTTTTATCAATAATTAAAATTTTTCTTAATAAATGTTTATTTAATCTTATAATTCTTAAATTTATTTCTATTTTTTAATTTGATATTCATTATATACATTCTTTATAACTTATCAACTAATGCTTCTCTTGTATTACAGTTTTTTTACCCAATGTTAATCTGCACTTTATGTAATTCAGAACATAACAATCTAAATAATTATTAAATAGTATACTTATTATCAAATTCTTTATTTAGTAATAGTGATTAAATTTATCATCTCTTATATTATATGCATTATGTAATGTTTTAATTTTATCCTCCAGAATTTAAACTTATGCAAAGTCAATTTATGTTATTTTTCTGTTTCTTCAATTTATCCTTTTTGATAATGTTAGTATTTTCTATTTAATTATTTAATTCTAATATTTTTTTCTCAAGAATTGTCACCTTCGCTAATACTAGATTAATCTTAAACTTTTTGTATTATTAGTTAAGTTTTTAAGTATCTTTTAGTTATTTTCAATTCTTAATTTTGATTTAAACTTTTTTTAATTTAATCCTGATATTTATATTAATCTATATTAGAACTGAATGGGAATTATATTTTATTTGTAACTTTAATTTAGCTTGGCCACTTAGAACTCATATTCTATTGTTAATTATTAGTAGTTAAATTTTATAATAATAAATTTATAGGGTGTGAGATTTAAACAAAAATAGTAAATGTAGTATCAAATGGATTTATTTAAGACTAATAATTAAAAGTTGGAATGTAATGTCATTTATTTTTAAAGAAAATAAAAAATTTGTTATTATTCTAAAATAATTTAGTTAGGTTTTTTATATTAACAACTTTTCATAAATTTAAATTATATGTTTAAAATAAAGAGACTCTAAAATTCATTCGAAAGAAAGCTACATGAGTTCTTTATGAATTGGAAAAAAACTACTTAAAATTTCAAATAATGGAAATCAAATTTAAATTTTATGTATGAATATAATTTTCAATTATATTAGATAATTGAGTTATGAATAAGACTAGGAAGAAACTAGAAATCTACTTATTTAATAAGAATTATAAGTTCAATAATCAATAAGCAAATTCAAAATGTTGAATCATAATAAATGTGATTAATATGATTAACAAAGAAACTTTTCAATTTTATAATCAGAAGTAGAACAATTTACTACTTGTAATTTTCAAATTCATATTAGTGGTTTTAAAAGGGGAATTAAGAGATAAAATTATTTTTAATAACAGAAGATCTGAACTTCTAATGGAAATATATTCTGCTTTGGAGGAAGTTTAAACTAGTTCTAATATAATTTTCTTAGAATATAAAATGTAATAATTAGAAGTAAATTAAAATTAACAAAAGATATTAGGTTTAGTTAAGGGATAATTAAGCAATTAATATATTGATTAAATTTGTAAATTGTATCATCATAAAGAATTTTGGTTTGCTTTAGAACAAACTTATAATGAAATGTTGAAATAGAGAATATTCAATAGTAATTTTTAGAAAATAGCAAAATGCTTATACATAATCAAACCAAATTGTTAGCTTTATGAAATAATTAGGGATTTGAATGATAAGAGTGATGATGATTAAATTGAAAAGACAGTAGAATTTAAATCATATTTTATAGTTCCATTAAAGGGCAATAGAAATAGCTATTAAGGAAGGATATTAACATTCATTAAAGTTTCATTTAGAATAATGTTTGTATCATAGTTGGAGTTAAGAACAAAAAAGTCATTTAATAGAAAGTTGCTTAAAATTATCTAAGTAATTCTAAGAAAGAGATAGATTATATTAAGAACTTTAGGATATGAAATAGTTGTGATTTACTTAAATTTCATACTATATATTAAATTTAATTATGATTAAATTCAGATATAATTTATCAAATGTTTTAGCATTTTCAAGATGCTAATCCTTTCAATTTATAAATTAATCAAAATATAGATTTTCTAATATTGAAAAAGAAAATGGAGAAAGTCAAGAGAAATAATAAACAAAGTTAGAAAAATAAAAGATTTCAAAAAAATAAGGTTATGTTGCAAAAATGAGAGAAGAAGTAATTACAAATGCAATTGTAGCATCTTTGAAAGAGAAAAGTAAGATGAAGGCAAAAGAGGAATATCGTGCAGCTATTTTATTTGAAGAAATTTTAAATAGAGAAGTTGATATCAATTTATATGACACTAAAGGTAGGGCTTATATAATATCTACATTATGGAATATTTTTTGGATTGCTTTTGCTAGTTTGGGATTGTACACAATATTTAGAGATGATTAATGGTATAAAAAAAATATGGAAATCTTTAAAGTTGTTATTACTACTGGATTCATATTGACTAGGGTTATAAAATAGAGATAATTTTATAAATATTAAGTTGAGAAGGTAATTTATAATACGAAATCAAAATAATTTACAATCACAAAGAGAAATATATTGGGAATAAAAAAAGATTAAGTATTACAAAAAGATCATATATTATATACATCAGATAAAGACTTAAATTTTAAAAAGATAAATTATATCAATATCAATACTTTAGAATGTTATGGAATTGGATTTGATTATGCTTGGTTAAAGAAAGATTTATTTTCTCATTTGATTTAGTAAAATATATCATGAAATATTATATTAAATTGATTAATAAATTGAATTTCTAATATCTTTGTATAATTTAAATCTAATATTTGTTATTTTTAATCATGATTAAATAAGAACAACATTTTAAATTATTAAAATTAGATAATTATGAACAAATATAGTTTAATATTTTTAGATAAAGAATCTGAAAGAAAATATTAAGAATAGAAAATTAATTAACTAAGAAAACCAGTCTATATTTGTAGTGCAATTGGTTTGTTTTTTATCAGTATGATAAAGATGATAACAGAAATTTTGGATAATTAGTAGAATGAATTAAGCATAATAATTGTTACTTAAATTTATCTCATCGTGTCTATATTCATAATAAAGTGGAAGCCCTAATTAGTATAATCTTGTTTGATTATATTAAATTATTTACTACTAGCCTACTAATATATGTTAACAAATACTATATCACAAGAGGCCCTATAATTATTTGCTAATAATTTTGTAGCTTGTAACTTTGTTATCATTTTAACAGTTGATATGTGTTAAGGAATAATCTTAGTAACAACTACAATGATAATACGTATGAGTTTGGCAATATCAGAAGCTACAACTCCATAATATAATGTATATTTTGCTACAATTTTACTTATTTGTTTTTTAAGTTTTTTTATTCATAAATTGAATTATGAAAGTCGTAGCTATTTTTTATTGAGTTTAAAAGATAATTTAATGGAATAAATATTACCAATTATTGTAAATAAATCCTATATTTTATTTCAATTTGAAAACAATCAATTAAGATTTTCATTAATTTCATCACGCTAATTAGAATTTAATTGTGATAATTCAGAGAATTTGAAATCATTTTTAAGAGAATGGAATTATAAATAATAAAGTCTTGAATAGTTTTGTTTTTAGGATATTAAACGTAAATAATCTTTAGAAATTAAATCTTATAGCAAATAAATAGAAATTAAAAAAGGTTCAAAATAAACATAAAAAATAACAATTTGCTTTTTTAGTTATTAATAGCCAACATTTTTAATTAAATTTGATAATAACTCTTAAATCTAAGATAAATTAAAAAATTATCTATTTAAATCAATAGAAAAAGAGAGATTAGTATAATTTAAGATTTTTAAATGTATAGTAAATAATTTATCTGTTTCATTAAGATCTTCTAATTTATAACAATTACATTTATTAAGGATTTATTGTTTCAAATAAATTCTAAATTACAAAATTTTAAATCATTAATTTAAATAATAAGATTTTGAAATAAATCCAATTTTATAAAAATTAAAGGATTTTTTCAAATTTAAATAAGTAAATTATTAAATTATTCCATCATCTGATGGTAAAGTTTAAATGGTGAAAACCTATTTCTTACGATTAATTTATGATATTTTTAATGAATGTAAGGAGGATTCAACTATAGTAATAAATTTAGAGCATCGTTTAGAACCATATATACGTTATTATGGTAGAGAGATTAATGAATATACAGATACAGTTATTTAAACAGTTGTAAAAACTCTAGTTAAGAAATAATAGATGATGAAAATTGGAAATTAAACAACAATTTTAATATTATTGAATGAAGAACCAAACTACCCATTCTAATCTTCACTATAAATTTGATATTATTTATTTAATTAGACTATGAATATTAATTCAATTTTCTGAAATAGCTCTCTTTCTCTTTTATTATTCGAGTGATTGAAGAATTTAATTTCGAGCAATTTTAAGATTTAATTCATTTTAATATTTAATTGGAGTATCTATTAATGTAGCAATTGTATTATCTGTTTGATTAAGTAAATTAGGTTTATTTTATGAAGTCCTATAACTTTTTTATTTACTATTATTATAATATGTTGGTTTTGGTTTTTAAAGGAAATATTCATATTGATTACCTCTTTTTTAGAGAAGTTAAGCATTTTTGAATTGTTCAAACATTCCTGTTTTAAGTTTAAAGGATTATTTAGAATAGAGTGTATAGTTTTCTTAGAATGCACATTTTTAATCTAAATATCTACCATTAAGATCAAGTTCATAGGATCTATTAGAGATTTTATCATTGAATCTACATTTAGTTGATTTCAATCTTATTATACGATCCTCAGATTCTTAAATAGATTCATTAACTTTTTTATCTTGTAATTAACTTAAATTGGGTCTTAAGGTAATTTAAAGATCATGTTATAGATTAACAGCTTTACCATACCATTTAATTCTTTTATATTACATATCTTAAATCTTTACTTAATAAAAATTTACCTTATTGTATGGCAGCATCAGATGGTTTAATAAAGAGGATATCTTCTACTTTAACATGTTTAAATTAAAACTCTTTTGGTGAATCAACACTTATGGCCATTTAACGATTAACATGTCTTTCTCTATTAATAGATGGTTTTGGAGTTTCATCTCTAGTAAATGATAAAATATTAGGTTTGTGCATAACTGATTAATTTATATTATAAAATAATGTAATCAAGAGGTCTGTCAACCCCTGGAAAACCAAAATAAGAAGTACTCTAAATTGTCTTTGATCTTGGTGAAAAGAAACATGTATAGAAATCTATATAAGATTTAAGGAAACATTGCATGTATATGGTGATTCTGATATAACAATGATTGCAAAAGAATTTGTTAATAAACATTAATTAAGAGAGGAGGCAACTGTTTTAATAGAATAAACTATAATCAGCAATTTATAAGACAGTCATTGTTCTAAATAAAGCATTTTTGATCGATTACATAATGAAGCTGCCGTTAAGACCTAGAAAAGACATTAATAATTTATTACCAACAGTTTATCTTAAACTTTTAGTCCTCAAAAAACATTACCTTACAATCCAGGAGAATAATTATATTTAAAATCAAAACAAAGTCGAATTTTAGAACCTAAATAAGATGTTTAATATTCATTCAAGCCATATATAAGTGAAAAAAGTTTGTCTTTAGCAAAAAGACCAAATATGCCTACATAAGATTATTTGATTATGCAAGGCAAATAGATGGCATAGAGAAAAGAACAATTAAGAAGTAGTAGAATGGCTGCATAAAATTAATAATGTTCATTTCAACCTACTATAAATCCTATGTAAAATTACTTTAACAATTTTGATTAGAAGTCAAAAGATTTCTTAAGAGAAAGAAAGAAACTATTCGAGTGCTTAAAAAAGTTAGATACATGATCGATTATATTAATAAGGCATAAATTCAATGAAGAAAAAGAAAGAGGCTAGTTAAATGATCAATTAATCTTATATGATGTCTCCTTTAAAACGAAAACCTTCAGATATTCCATTTCTAGAAAGAATGCAAATATCAATATAAAAAAGATAAAAGAAATTAGAAGAAACTGTAATGACTGAAGAACCAACACATGATATAACAACTGGTTAAAAATTATATCATCCTATAATTGGAAGACCACCTGCAAATGATGTATATATTTTTGATATATTATAGAGAAATAATTCTAATCTTCCAATTGGAGATTATCTCTTTTAAATGAGAACTGTACATGAAGATCATCATAATTACTTAGTTGAATAAGAAAGATAATCTATAATGAATTCAATGGCCAAATCTTCTGAAAAATCCAGTTAAATTTATGAAGATAAAAAGAGAAAAGTTTTAGAAGAAATATTCTCATTACTTGATTCAGATGGAGATGGTTAAATTTCAGCATCTTCTATTGAAATTTCTGGAATTTAATCTGAAATTTTATAAATATTGGCACCACTCTTATGTGAAATGGAATCAATTTAAGCTTAATTAGATTTAGAATCATTTATAGAAGCAGCTAATAGATTGATATTATCTTTAAATGTTTCAGACAAAAATAAATTAATCAATGGATTAAAATAAAAAAAAATAATAGATCTAGATTAATGTACATTTTAAGTATGAATTTATTTATATTAAGCCTAAATTATGCAAGCATTCAATGAAATTAGTTAAATCGAGTCCAAAATTACAATATAATGTAATCAACCATTATTTAATTTTAGAAACTTGAGTTAGTGAAATAAGAATAGGAATAAAAAGTAATGTAAGAATGCACATTTAAACCTCAATTATATAATCCACTTAAAATTTATGATTTTATGCTTAATCAATGAAGAATACTGGGAATTTTGTTATAAATTATATGTGTTATATAACTAATGATCTAATTTTTATTTTTTCTAGTAATTTTAACTGATAGTTGACAATCTTAACTAAATAAATTAACTAGTTAATTTTAAGAAACTCAGAAAATTCTTCCAAAATTCTTTATAATCAAATTGCTTTTCTTTTAATTAGATATATAAGATTGAATTATTCTCTCTTAATCAATTATTTTTTAAAATAAATAATTAACTTGAATTAGACAATAAAGAACTTTAATACCATATATAAAATTTAAAATTTGACTGATATTAACATTATTTATTATGTTTATTGTTTTTCAAACAAAATAAAGCAATTATTAAGATTTTAAAGCATGATAAATAAAAAAAATATAGTGCAATTGATTTAAAATGATATTTTATTGTTATATAATCTTGATTTAATTAAAATCATTTTAGATAAATAAATAAAATATTTTTGAGATGGGCACTTGCTAAACAAGAAAAAGAAAATCAAATAGTTAAAATACCGCCACGACTCCTGTGAGTTAGTTTTCTAATAAAATAATTTCATATTCACAGAATTGCATTGATACTAAACCACAACCAAAATTTGTTCCTTAGAGACCCTCTATTGTGGAATATACTTAATATGATCCAACAAGTATCTATCTTTATTAACTTTAGATCCTCATCGACAGTTTAATGTGCTGATAAATGGAGTTCATTTTGAAGTCATAAATTCAGTTGAAGAAGACATTTTAGGATAACTAGATTGATACAATTTTTAATGATATATGTTTTATGTCAATCAATTTTTCATATATTTATGAATCACTGTTAATATTAAGTTAAATGAGCTACCCCTAAATTACTCAAAGGCTCTTTTTTTCCTAATTTCTAAAAGACCTCTAAAATTTAAAAATGAATAACAATATTCATAACTGTTGTAGTTTGTTAATAAATCCTATATAATTAAAGTTTAAACATTGATAAAACTATTTTAAAGGAAAACTAAAGATGGCAAGTTAAAGAATATGAGAATACAACATTACTGTTCAAATTATTAATATAAAAGTAGTGGTTTTTATTATCATTTAACTTAAATTTGTTACTTTCATTTTTATTTCTTACTCTAAGTCTAATCAAGAATTATCTATTATTTTTAGAATTTCTTGATTACAGGATTAATGTAATAGACTTCAATTAATTAATTTATATTTATAAATCATTTCATGCTGTTTAATTTTATATTATGTTAATTCAAATTTAATCAATAATAAAAATCTTTTTATAATTCCTTATTAACTGCTGAAAACCTTCAATAAATATCAATTTTTTAATAAATAAGAAGATCCTTTAAATCAATTATAAATTTTAAACTTGTTGCTTTTTTGTTGAAAAAATCTGCTATTAATGAATTGACTAATCAATTTTAATTCCTAAACTTTTTGAAATATTAAAAATTTTCATTAATTATTGATAAAGAATACTTTTTTGTATCTATGAAATTTTGATCATTTAAAGAATTTATAATTAAAACACCTCCTAAATATAAGTTCACAACTATCGAAATCATATAGACATATTATTGGAAATTAAGAATATTTATTATTTAAACAAGACTTCTAATTAAAATTTTACAAATATTAGGATAAATCTTTTAGTACAATTTGAAGTGACTAAACAAATGAATATAAGTTTATAATTTGAAAATGAGCATTTTGGTAACCTAAACTCATCATATAATAATTAGAAACTTATATTCATTTCATTTAGTCTAAATATAGCACTAATCAAAAATGTTAGGAAATGTTTTCTTTTGATAAAAATATTTGATTACATCATGATGATCTATTCATTAGAACCAATTTTATATTTATTTAGATCAAATTTTTCATTTTCTATTTTTAACTCAATTTATTCTTTGAAATAACAAACATCTAAATAAAATTGAATATTTTATTCATTATGAATTTGTTCAATTAACACTCTTTCTATCATTCTTTTTTGTTTTAATTAGATAGGAGGATGATTGGATGATTACAATATTTATGAAGAATTAGTATATTAAAATTTATAATAGGTTAATGAAATTTTGATATGATATTACAAATAAAACCATGGTAATGACAGAAGGTATAAAAATAAGAATAGAGAAGATAACATATATATATAAATGAAAGCCTAATTGATTCAGAGTATATGAAATATTTTCAGAATCTCTTTTTCGTAATTGTTAGGTCTTTATGATATAATGGGAATGGGAAAAACGTAAATTACAAGATAGTTTTACATTGTTTAAAAAACAATGTAAAAGGAAATTCAATTTAAGAAATTATTATGTGAAAGTATAAAATAAAATATACAGAGTTATTTTGATTATTTATATAGAGATGATTTTAATATTATTAAAAATTTATGATTCCTAAAGTTGTTGGTTATTCAGCATTCTAATCATATGGAGATTTACCATATCCATCTCTTAAAGCTGGTAAACGTACATTAGATTCTAATGAAGTATGGGAACAAAGTAAGTTTGATTATTACATTAACTTAGCTGTTAGAAATGAAGATAAAGAGAGTTTTTATAAGAATTCTAACTATCATTATTCAAACAAATAAGTTTCTCTAGATTCTACAGTATAACCACCACATTATAAGAATGTTTATAAAGCAAATAAAGTAAGGAAATAATCTTCTAAATTTATTATAGGCACATTTAGAGAGTGCAACTTCTAGTGATTTTTTCTAAAAAACAGGAAATTCAGCTATAACACCAGAGAATCCTCTACTCAAGACTGGATGTGAGCATTGGAAATCTACATATTAAGCATCAATTGTTGATCCATATGCAAAAAATAGAGCAATACCACCTGAATGGAGTTTAAATAGACCACCTTATGTAGTGGAAACGTATTATGTATAGAAAATAATAATAGGAAAGTTGGACCTTCTGAATATAAGAAATAGTATGGATAAATAGGTGAAAATCCTAGAGATAGATTAAATTAATTAGATGAAACTCATCCCAGAGCATTTGATGAATTGAGATTAGGAACTTCATAAGAAGCATAGCATATACCTGGATATACAGGATTCATACCATCAATTATAACTAATTCAAAAGCTATTGAACATGGAAATGGAAGTGAACCAAGAACAGATTTTATGAAAACTAATTTAAAAGAGAATTAGTATAATCATTATTAATAATAATAATAGTCATACTAAAATACCAGGATATGCTGGACATGTTCCAAGATCTGTAGTCAATCAAAGAGATCAACCAAGATAATCTTGTTTTAGCAATTGATACAGAATTCATTTATTATTAATAATTAATATATTTCATATAATAGATTTAAATAAATAATTCTTGTATTCTTTTATACATTTACAAATGATAACATAATAAATGAATTCAAAATTAATAATAATATAACTCAATTAATTTTCTTATTAATATGAATTATAAACTTATATGAAATGATAATTGAGAAAATAGAATTCATTTAGTAATAGCTTAAAAAAGAAATATTTTATTTTTTAATTCTCAAACTAATGAAAGAATTAGTATATAAATTATTTCGATTTTGTAAATATATTAATGGATTTAGATATAGCCATTGAGACAAAAGAGAAAGTACGTAATCCTACAATAAAATTGAATAAGAAATTAGCAATAGCTATAGCAGTACATATAAATAATTATAAAAGGCACTTACTAAATCTGAAAAGAAGCCATTTGATGAATTAGTCTCATAAGAACCTACAAATAAATTAATTGCAGTTCATTTTGGAGTAGGTGATTAAGATGATTATAATACTATCTGTAATTATGTTAAATAGTTTGGACAGAATAAAATAATGATTTACCCTGTAAGGAATTATGCATTTATTGAATTCTAAAACATCTAATAGAGTTTATAATTATTCTAAGTATAAGTTATTTGCCATTTAGTCTTTACAAGTTTTTGAGAATATCAAATATGCAAATCTACAGTATCCAAATAAAGAAAGAGCTACAATGTTTTTTTATACAAACTAGTAAGATTTAACTGGTGGAGGAATGTGTGATATACCAAATGCAATGAGACAAGTTAATATACCAGGATTGTATTTGATACATGATTTCATAACACCAGAATATGAAAAATATATTTTAGATTTAATTGAAAAACAAGAATGGTCCAAATTGAAATAAAGAAGAGTTCAACATTATGGCTATGAATTCATATATGGAGATAATACAGTTAATGTAAATTAACCTGCAGATAAAAATATCCCAGCTTTCCTTGAAGATGTTAGAGCCAAAGTATCTGAATTGATAAAACCTCAAGATCAAATAAATTAACTTACAATTAATGAATATTTACCAGGAATGGGTATTCCACCTCATTTTGATGTTCATCCTCCATTCCATGAGAAATTTGTATCTATCAGTTTACTCAGTGGTTTAGTAATGTCATTTAAATCCTTTAAAGGAGAAGAATAACATTTATATTTACCTCCTAGATCTTGTGCATTATTTACAGGTGAAGTTAGATATGCTTGGTTCCATTCTATTGCAGCAAGAAAAATAGATAAAGTAGAAGGTGAAACACATTTTAGATCTAGAAGATTAAGTTTGACTTTCAGAACTATTAGAAATGATTTGAAATGTGATTGTGAATATTAATTCTTTTGTGAATCTTAGGGTTATAATCCATTAACAATGAAAAACAAAAATCCATTGCTTTAAGAATATCTTGCAAAATTAAATTAAATTGGAATAATATAAGACAATAAAGTTGTTCCCAATAAAACTTAAGAAGAAATTTAATTACTTGAAGAATAACCATAATAATTACAATAAATGCCTAAGGCTACTGAAGTTGAAAAGAAATATGTTTATGAGATTTATGAAAAAATTGCACCTCATTTTAGTTCAACACGTTATAAGCCATGGCCTAAAATAGAACAATTTCTTAAATCATTAGAATCTGGATCTTTAGTAGCTGATGTTGGATGTGGTAATGGCAAATATTTAGGATCAAATCCAGATATTGAAATGATTGGTACTGATAGAAGTGAAAATCTATTGAAAATTTGCAAAGAAAAATCTGATGCTTATTAAGTATTCAGTGCTGATTCATTAAGATTACCATTAAAATCTGAAATGTTTGATGCTGTAATATCAATTGCAGTTATTCATCATTTTTCAAATAAGTAATAATTATTATATTTAATTTAATTAGAATTCTAAGATAATAAGCTATAAAGGAATTATTAAGGATTTGTAAATCTAAAGGTTTAGTATTAATCTATGTTTGGGCTATGGAATAAGAAGAGAAGACCTTTAATGAACAAGATGTTTTTGTGCCATGGAATTTACAATTTAAATATGAAGATGAAAAAGTAATAAATTAAGAAGGTATATAAATTAAATATTATTGGTAGTGTAATAATAATTTAAAATTGATGATTAAAAGAAAACAGTTGTATATAAACGATATTATCATGTATTTAAATAAGGTGAGATAGAAGAATTATTATCAGAAATGCCAGGATTTAAAATAGTAAATAATTATTATGACCATGCTAATTGGGTAGTTGTTTTATAAAAAGATTGAAAATTAATTATTCATTTTAATATTATTATTAATTAAATATTAAATGGCTTAATAAAATAGTCATCTTCATTTAAGATATTGGAGTTCTAGTGATTGGGATTTTAATAAAAAGAAAGAACTTCAACATTAAATGTTAATTACTAGATAGAGATTCTTTGAATCAATGAAACCATAAGAAGTAAAACGGATTAATACTGCCAATTTTCATTAATATGTTATTGATATAAGAGAATATTATGAAAAAAAAAATTAGCAACTTATGTCAAGTAAAAAATATAGTAGAAGCACTAAATCCTTAAAAAATATATTTAGTAATAACAATTTAGTACTTAAATTTAAATCGTAACCATTTTTTCCAGATATAAATTGAATTGTATTATTATCAACATCTTATATTTATATATCCATATCAATACCTATTTCTGTTTGTTTTACTTTAAGAAATTTCTTATTCTAATTTAAAATATATTCTTACTGAAACTTCATAATGTTGGAATAACATGGATTATCAATCAATCTTTAATATATTGAAACCTTTATAATTTAGATAAATATTTCACTTCTATTTTCATGTCTTTAAAAACAACAATAAATAGATAAATATATCTCTACCTTAATCTTTCAATTTGTTTAAACCTATTTTGACTTTGCCTAACACATATCTTGATATTAAACTTTATTGTTCTTAAAGTTGATCATAAAATGAAAGAATATTATTAACTTTAAAATTTTATTAGTATCAACATTTTTATTATATAGTAAATTGATTATAAGAGTGTATTCCAAAATCTTTAAATAAAGGATTTCATATTACATAGCGAATATTTAATAATAGTTATATTATAATTAGTTATAGAAGGGAAATTATTGAAATTTTATATTAAGTGAATATTAATATTGAATTTAAATATATGAAGTAAATTAATATTATGAATGAACTTAGAAACTCACAAGGAATTTGAATTTAAATATTATTTTCATTATTCATTACAATTTTATTAGAATTCATATAAAAGTTAAACAATTATTTTGAGCTAAACTGAGGATATTAATTCTAAAATTTAGTCAAGAGATAATAGATTTGAATCTAGAAATTAAATAAAATTTAAGTAACTAGAGACAGACTTTCATGTTTGGTTTAGATATTAAAGTTTGGAATTATTTAGATAATGAGAAGAAAATAATTGGCAGAAAATAATTTTATGAAATTTTATTATATTTCTCTAATACAAAATATAAATCATAGGGTTGAATTCCTAGTTTTAGTAAAGGTATATTAAATAGGAACTTTTTTTATGGATTCATTTATTTAATAGAAACCATGAATAAGAATAGGAAAAGCGTTTTAGAAATCGTCATTTTGAAATAAAGTTTCTAATACTATATTAAGTTGTTAGTATTAAGGTATAATTCTACTGAGGAATAATGAATCAGTATATAACCATTCTTCATCCTCAATAGTAGAAATTCTGGTTATGTTTTTTTCTTTCATGATTTTCTTCAAGTTATACTAGATGAGTATTTTAATATTAGTGCGAATCATATAGAGCAGATTGATATGATCTTAGGTTTATTTTTCCAAGAGATCTAGATTGCCAAGAAGATCCAATAAAGCATTTAGTTTATGGTATTATTCGAGCAATGGTTTTGTATTTGACTGTGGTTCTTCTAATTTCTATTTCTAATTGATAGGTATATCATTATTGTCAGGCTTTGCTTTTTATGAATTACACATACCCATTAATGAGTAGCTAAGAAAGATAAATAGTGAGTTAATTTAAAATGTTTTCTAATTAGAAATTGCTTTATAGGTTTAATATGCAATAAAAACATATCTAAAAATCTTAAACATTGTAATAGCTTAATAATGAAAGAATCAATAGGGGATTTAATTATTAATCTATTACCTAATTATGGAAAGGCAAACAATAAAACAGTAATATTATCAAAATATTTTCCATTATATTTCTATAGATATTTGTTTTAGCTGTTTCTCTTAAAATTGTTGATATACATTGATAATCCAGTTCTAACACTATCTGATTAGTAAACTACTCCTTATTATATCAAACATTGAATCAACTTATTCTACAATAAAAAATTTAAGCTAAAAAAAAAAATCTTGATTAATAACCCTTTAAGAATTAAGTCTACCACTCATAACACTATAGTATATAAAATTTAGATATATATTATTTATATTTAATTCTCTAAGCTTAAAAGTATTCTATTATTAATTTTTTCTTTGAAGGATTTTGAATAAATAGTAATGATTGAACTTTATGTATATTATACAATAATTAAACAAATAACTCTAATATTTTAATAGAGTGATTAACATTATAGAAACCATGATAACTTCATAAAAGATTAATTTTAGTATCTTTATTTTGACTGTACATTTTAAAATAAGTAAATTTGAAATTCATCAGATCTATATGTATCTTATGTAATTTTCAAAAGATTTTGAGATCTAAAAGATGTAAATGATAAGTTATATTGGATTCTAATTTGAAATATATATTTTAAATGAGTAAATGTAAATATTTTATAAATTATAATATATCATTTACCTTCTTAAAATTCATCATTTACCCAAGTTCCTTAAATTTCTAAATTCTTAACAGTTAGCTTTCCTTTACCATTCTTTTTGCCATTCTTCCAATATCCATCATATATTGAATTATCTTCATCTATTAAGTAACCCCAACCTTCAAATAAACCATTTACAAATTAACCTAAACTATTATTATAGTTTATACCTTTGTAATAACGTTTATTAGGCCAAAACATTTCTCCTTAACCATGAAATTAAGAATTCTGAAATTGGCCAATATATTTTTTACCACTAGAAAAATAATAATTTCCTTATCCATGAAATTTATCACATAAAAATTATCCTTCATACTTTACTTTTTTGATAAGATCTTCAAGTACTCCTTATCCTTCCATTCTTCCATTTACAAAATCACCTGTGTATATAGAAATACTTCTTTTTAAATATCCTCTTCCATTAGGTATAGAATTGTAGCATTCTCCTTTATAATATAAATCTTCCTCTTATTTTTCCATGATTTTTTACATTTTATTATTTTCCCAATATCCAGACTATTATATAAATATATCATCCTTAATACTTCTACAGTAGCTTTAGTTATGCGTCTTCCCCAACCTTTCCTTATCCCATCTTAAAAACTGCCTTCAAATAATTCTGTTTATGATAAACTTATTCCGTATCCATGTCTTTTACCATTCTTCATAAATCCTTCGTATTATGATTAATCAGATAGTGTTGTATTATATACAAACTGGGATTATTCATCTATAAATTTTTCTATAGGTTCATATATTTCAATTTTTTCTAACCTTTATTTTAACCAAGGATAGTAATTATTTTTGATGCAAATTTAAGTGTTTTCAATAGATTATATATTATTTATTTATAATATCGGAGCCTATCCAATCATTTTAGTTCCTTCAATATTCTCATTTTCTTCATCCTTTTCCTTATCATTAAAGAATGAGTATTTTTCTTCATCCTTTTTGGTTTGTTTCTCTGGTTTTAGTTCATTTTCGATGTGACCTTATAATGTAGAATAATAATAACTTTCAGGAGATTCAAATGATTTTTTTTCCTAATATTCATACTTTTTAATTTAATTAGAATTACTGTTCGATAAGGATTATATACTATTTTATTCTTTCTACCTCTAACTAATCAAGCAATTAAACCATTATTATTACTTATTAGGTAGTGCTAGAAAACTATACGTATTCTGTTTCTCACCATCTCTCTAACTTAAACAATCAGTTTTTATTTTAGAATTCTATTACCTTTAAGGCTCTTGAATTTAAGAACTTTGTATGCCTCCCATCTTAAAATTATAAAAAATATACAAATAATAATTAGAATCAAATATATTCTCTTAGGTTTATTAACTATTCAATTATATTATGTGCATATCTATATGGCTTTTTAGTTATATATCTTAAGTATTTTATTTATTATTCATTAACCATAATCTTATCTAATGCATTATGTAATCTCTAATATTAATTTGTTAATTTAGATAAAATAAAGTAATTCAAAAGAATATACTATTCACCATATATAAATTTCAATCTCAAACATAAATTGGATCTAAAACATATTACAATTTCTTTCTATTAAGTTGTATTTATGTCAATTACCTAATAATTTATAGAATTTCATCTTATTATAATTAGATATTTATAATTAATTTAATGTTACTAAATACTTTATTAGTATTAGATACTAAAAATCAGAGATTCAATATCCCCTAAGCTAAAGTATATATTCAAATTATTTTTTATTTCATAGTTTTGATCTTAGTATAAATGATGAATGTATACTAAAGTCATAAATTACTTTCATAAAGCTAATTAAAGAGAACTATATTTATGAGCAAAATATTAAATATTAAAGTGTTGAATAGCAAAGAGGATAGAATCTATTCAATTCTTCTATTTTTCTAGTAAATTAAAACAAAAATATTTAATTATGTATCTATCCCTTAGTTTTCATTTATAATTTTTGATTTATTTGATAATTATTTTATCACTATTATTAAATTACAATAATTCATTAGATTAGGTCATGCGAATTTAATTATAATAAAGAATTTTAAAATTATTCCTAAATTGGTATTAATAATGATAAAATCATAATTTAATCCAAAAAAAAATAATTAATATAATGTTTATAAAGATATTAAATAAATTTTATAATCATTAATATAATATTTATAATCCAAATCTAAATTAAGTAAAAATCTATTTATTTTTTTAAATATTATTGCAATCATAGATCCTCTAAATTAATTATAATAATACTACTATCTTATATAGCAAAAAGTTTGCATTAATGAAATAATTTGTGAATCATTTACTATAGTTATTGAATATTTATTTTGATATAATTATGCATATATTTTATTATTGATTTGATTAGTATTAATTGAAATTACTAATTATTATTGAAGTATTTTATAATTTAAATTAAGATTTACTCAAAATAAGAAATGGATATTCTATATATTAATGATAAGAATATTATATGAATTTTCAGTTTTTATTTAAAATACATTAAATTTAGTTATTATTATTTATCTATATATGTTTATAAGTAATATATCAAAATCATTTAAATTTATTATTATTCTTTGTGAAAATAACTTATGATTAAGGTTGCTTTGATTTAAATGCATCAGTTTTTTGACTTTTACCTATGACATCTTGGTATAACTATTTAAGGAATAGATTTATTTGATTCGATTTATTAATATTATTTAAAAAATAATAATAAAGTAATGGGAGCTACTTGTTGCTCAGGAACGCCATAAACTTAGGAGATTCATTTCACAGCTCCTGCTAAATACGATGCCACTGTTGAAGGAAATGATCATGTGGAAATAGCCAAGCCAACAGAAGCAAAAAATGAATATTAAGAGAAAGAACCAATAAAACAAGAAGAATCCTAACCAGTTTAGGTTGATGACATTCAATAAAGTGCAAATCCTCCAGATGATGTATAACAATTCAGTATATTAAGGCTTTAAGAGAAAAATAAAGGTAACAGATTTCTACACATGGTCCAAATCCTGAAGATGCTAAACCATATGATAAAGATCCTTTTATTGAAAATGAATAGGTTCGTAAAACACTTGAAAAACTTGGAAATTACCATTATGACGAGACATCCTTATCAAATTTTCATGATTGTATTGAGTTAGGACCCTATGTAAATAATTAGATGATAACTCTAGCAATTTGAGAATGGAGCTATATATGTTGGTTAATGGAAAAATCACTAAAGATGGGGCAAAGGTAAATAGTATTGGCCAGATGGATCAGTTTATGAAGGATTTTGGAGTTCTCATACAGCAAATGGAAAGGGAAGATTAATTCATGCAGATGGAGATGCTTATGTAAATACATGAGTAACTTTTAGGATGGAGATTGGGTTGATGATAGAGCATAGGGATAAGGAACTTATTATCATGTTGATGGTGCCAAATACGAAGGAGATTGGTTGGAAGATTAATAACATGGAAAAGGAACTGAAATATGGCCAGATGGTGCTTAATATATTGGAAGCTATGTTAATGGAAAGAAGGATGGGAAAGGTAAATTTAAATGGAGTGATGGAGCAACTTATGAAGGTGACTTTCGAGATAACAATATTGAAGGTAATAACTCTATTTACTATCAAATAAAAAGGTTTTNTAATTATGCATATATTTTATTATTGATTTGATTAGTATTAATTGAAATTACTAATTATTATTGAAGTATTTTATAATTTAAATTAAGATTTACTCAAAATAAGAAATGGATATTCTATATATTAATGATAAGAATATTATATGAATTTTCAGTTTTTATTTAAAATACATTAAATTTAGTTATTATTATTTATCTATATATGTTTATAAGTAATATATCAAAATCATTTAAATTTATTATTATTCTTTGTGAAAATAACTTATGATTAAGGTTGCTTTGATTTAAATGCATCAGTTTTTTGACTTTTACCTATGACATCTTGGTATAACTATTTAAGGAATAGATTTATTTGATTCGATTTATTAATATTATTTAAAAAATAATAATAAAGTAATGGGAGCTACTTGTTGCTCAGGAACGCCATAAACTTAGGAGATTCATTTCACAGCTCCTGCTAAATACGATGCCACTGTTGAAGGAAATGATCATGTGGAAATAGCCAAGCCAACAGAAGCAAAAAATGAATATTAAGAGAAAGAACCAATAAAACAAGAAGAATCCTAACCAGTTTAGGTTGATGACATTCAATAAAGTGCAAATCCTCCAGATGATGTATAACAATTCAGTATATTAAGGCTTTAAGAGAAAAATAAAGGTAACAGATTTCTACACATGGTCCAAATCCTGAAGATGCTAAACCATATGATAAAGATCCTTTTATTGAAAATGAATAGGTTCGTAAAACACTTGAAAAACTTGGAAATTACCATTATGACGAGACATCCTTATCAAATTTTCATGATTGTATTGAGTTAGGACCCTATGTAAATAATTAGATGATAACTCTAGCAATTTGAGAATGGAGCTATATATGTTGGTTAATGGAAAAATCACTAAAGATGGGGCAAAGGTAAATAGTATTGGCCAGATGGATCAGTTTATGAAGGATTTTGGAGTTCTCATACAGCAAATGGAAAGGGAAGATTAATTCATGCAGATGGAGATGCTTATGTAAATACATGAGTAACTTTTAGGATGGAGATTGGGTTGATGATAGAGCATAGGGATAAGGAACTTATTATCATGTTGATGGTGCCAAATACGAAGGAGATTGGTTGGAAGATTAATAACATGGAAAAGGAACTGAAATATGGCCAGATGGTGCTTAATATATTGGAAGCTATGTTAATGGAAAGAAGGATGGGAAAGGTAAATTTAAATGGAGTGATGGAGCAACTTATGAAGGTGACTTTCGAGATAACAATATTGAAGGTAATAACTCTATTTACTATCAAATAAAAAGGTTTTGGTGAATATGTTTGGGCTGATGGCAGAAAATATAAAGGATAATGGTTAAACAATAAAATGCATGGTAAAGGAGACTTTAACTGGCCAGATGGGAAATAATATAGTGGTAATAGATATATCTATTTTTAAAGGGGATTATGTTGAAGATAAAAAGGAAGGCTATGGAATCTTTAAATGGTCTGATGGAAAACAATATAAAGGATATTGGAAGGATGGAAAATAACATGGAAGAGGAATTTTGGTTGATAGAGAAGCCAGAGAAGTTGAAGCTGAATGGGTAGAAGGAAGAAGAGTTAGATAAGATAATTGAAATTATCACATATTATTAAGTTGAATACTGCATAGATTTATTTAATTTAAATTAAATCTATGTATTTTTATTCTATCAAATATTGAAGCACTTCTACTTAAAACTTCTTCTTTTTAAGATAGGTTCTTAATTAAAATATATCAATATTCTATTGATTGTTGAATAAGATTAAATTTTTAGAAATTCTATAATACTTTTGAATATTAGGGTATGTGAAATAATTCATATAATAAGATTTTGCAAAACTATTTCATAAAATAAAATTAGTGCCATTTGTATTCTAGTTTTATGATATTAAAACTAGAATATAAAAGTTTTATTTAATTTTAAATAATGTTTTATAAAACTAAGAAATTCCTAACATTATTATACTAACCAATTAGACACCCATTTAAGACATTTTAGAGATCATTTGATATTGAATAAGAATGGTCAAATGTAAAATTAGTCCTGAGACCTCACAAAGGAAAAATAGTGACACTTTTTGCATTAATAACTTATCCTATTTATAAGGACATGTTTCAAACAATTAGAAATTCATTTGTTTCAACAGTTTAGAGTGAACTAGGACCAGGTTAACCATTTGAAGTCTTTATAAATAGTTTTGTTAAAGTAAACTTGTTTTGATCAATAGACTGAAGTTTAAACAATTCTTAAAGATCCTGTCGTATAACAGGAATCAGTAGATTTTGTATAAAGATTGGGAAAACAATAATAGGTTTAAGATAGCATTGTTACTTTATTAAAATAATCTATATAAGATCCTTCATTTTTAGAAGATTCAAAAGTTTTTGGAAAGAAATTAGTTTTAGATTTGGTTTAAGATAAATAAATTTAAGAATAAACTCAAAAATTAATTATTCAAGTTGTAAATGATCCAATATTCAAATATGAAGTGAAGGAATTTTGTAAATCATTATCATAAGAACCAGAAATCAATTAAGCGTAAATTTTACATATATATGAGAGTTGCGGAAATCTTAAAAAATGCAGGTATGGATCCAAACTTTAGAGCTGCTTTTGCAAATGCATTTGCCTATGCTTTTAATGATGTTTTAATGAGAAAAGATACTACTGATAAAATAAGAATGTTTTTATTATTTCTAATAGAGACTGAAAAGTCTTAAGAATAAGGAATTAAAGGATTTATAGACATGATCATAGACAAATTGTTAAACAAGTATTTAAATATTTTTGATTAGAAAAATAAATATAAGCAAAGAAAATGAATTTGATTCATTATTGGAATAACTTTTAGGAAAAGAAAAATTGAAAAACTTAGCTGAAGAACATAAATTTTAAGGACAAAAAAATTCAGATATATATTGAATCCTACTTGAGTAATCATAAAATAATCATTTAATCATTGATTTAAAAAATGAAAATTTTCATCTCTTTATTATCATCGGATTACATTTGATATAATGATAACAATTTATATATCAATTTTGTAAACTTAGAATTCTATAATTTGGATAAGTGATTCTCAAATTATTAAAATCTATATAGATAAAAAATTATAAAAAATTTATTCTGTTGCTAAATCAATTAAATCTATTTATTTATTCTAAATAAGTATTGATAATCCAATTTTAATAAATTAATCGAATAATTCATCATATTATTATTTAAATTATGAATAATTCAAATTAACTTCCAAGATTCCTCCTTCCTTCATATATCAAATATTGAATAGAATCTACATGTTGAGATGATTATTTAAGAAATTAAGCAATTGTAAATTTTAATTATCTCAAGGAATTATGATTTTATATTTAATTCTAATATTTATCTAAATATATAATTTTAAATTCTTTTCCTTTTACTCCTCTTTTTATACAAAATATGATATATAAGTAATTACTAATGGAAGTCATAATCATAGAAATAAAATTGATTGTTGTTAAACTAATAGTTCTAAATTTTGTTTGAAAGCAATTTATTTTACTAAAAATATCATTTTTCTAAAAATTATGAATATATTCAATAGAACTTCTTTTTTTATTGAAAGATTAGAATCAAAAAACGATTAAGCATTTTATTATTATTCTTGTCATTTAGCATTAATGATAATGCATTAAAGTATATTTATATAGTCTTTATAATTATTCTATTATGTTAATGATTTCTTTTAAAATTAATATTATCTATATTTATTCCCTTCATATGTTAATGTAAAAATAAAGAAAAACTAATAACATGACTTCAATGTTTTCTAATATTTTTTCTTCTAATTTTAATATTCTTTCAAATTATTTCATGTCTAAGCTTTCCATCCTGTATATACATTTGCTGATTAATTATGCAGTAAATATTAACTAATTTGATTTGATTTATTGATTCTAATTGGTACTAATTTTTTATTGTATTTTTTGGCCCTTTTCTCATAAATAGTTGTAATTCAAATTAAAAAATATTATTATATTTATTTATATTTTCCTCTTAACAAAAATTTAGTTAAAATTTTTGATTACAGACCCTAATGAATCTTTTAGATATAAATATCTAGGGTGAGCATGAGATAATAGTATATTTTAATTAGCTAAGCAAAACTTGGTTTTTAAGCATAGATTATTTATTATTTAAATTATTTGTTGTTTTAATTTTAATAAAAAAATTACTATTAAAACTATTTTGAATCATTAATTAAATATCAAAAATAAGATAGAAAAATATTGAATTCATTAGACTTGTTTAATTAGAATCAGGAAAACCTAAAATTCACAATAAACCTAAGTTAATAATTAATTTAAATATAAAAAATAAATTTTTTTGATAAATCAATGTTTATGATTTATTCATATTAACTTATCACTCAAATGAAAATTTTTGGTTCTTCGAAATATTTGTTTTTTGTTATCATCATGCTCTTCTTCTTTAATTTCTGATTTTTATATGTGTTAAAGTGGTTTAACATTTTCTGATAACTAATCTTTACTAACTTACCCATTATTAATATCAATCACAAATATTGAATTACGAAATGAGACTGTTTTTTTATGATGTGGTGGTTAATGTAAATTATTTGATTTGTTTGTATATTCAGGAAGCGATTAATGATTTTGTATTGGTTGATCAATTTCTTTTGGAATTCTATAATCTACCAGTTGGGTTGGATGTTCTTAATTTACAACAAGAGCACCTAATTTTGCAAGAGGAGAGTGCAATCCTTAAGATTCTATTGGTATACTATTTAAATTGGAAAATTTATTCTTAGGTGTAGAATAATTTTCAATTTTTTCTTAATGAACTTCAATTTAAGGCTAGAATTATAGAGATTGATGAGGATCTTTTATAAATAGTTTTTATTTTTTTAGTTTTCTGACAGTGTTTTTTACAAATAAAAAATTATCCTCTGCATCTTATTCAGTTTAAGTTTTTCTAAAGACAGGACTTACAGCTTGGCTCTTGGGTAGAGATTATATTATTAATTAATAATCAGTAACTTATCTTTTCTATGGAGATATTAATGGAAGATGGAAGTCAGCTTCATTTAAAAAAAGAGAGGGTCTTATAGTTCTTGCACTTAAAAATTAGGTTGGATTTGTATTTTATTCTCTCATATTGATTTCTGAAGTGATTTTATATTGCATTTGAAATTTTGGTAAATGAAAATTAATATTTAATAGTCAAATTGAACTTAGATCATGTTTATTAAAGTTAGAAAATAAAAATCATAAGCAATATAAGAATATTTAATATTGATTTGTTATATTGAATTATAGATTTATTTATATAATCAAAATAATGTCTATTCCAATAATTGAAGATTCAGGAACAGGGTATATATTGAATCTTTGTTAGATATTTGAAGATAGGATTTGCAGGTGATAACTTTCCAGCTCATTCATTCCCAGCTATGGTAGGAAGACCAACACTTAGAGCAGATGAATAATTGGATGATGCCAACTTAAAAGTACAAAGAAATAATCATAGTTTTAGGATATAATGATAGGAGATGAAGCTTAGCCATATAGAGGATTATTAGAATTAACTCATCCTTTAGAAGAAGGAGTGGTTAAAAATTGGGATGATATGGAATTAATTTGGAATTATGGTTATAAGAAAGTAAGAAGATTATAATAATTATTATTAAGTTAGGCATTGATCCAAAAGATTAAACAGTATTGATGACAGAAGCAGCTGGAAATCCAAAAAAAAATAGAGAGAAAATGGCAGAAATAAAGTTTGAGAAATTTGGATTTGCTTAACTCAACGTAGGAATATAGGCTTTGCTTCCCTTATTTGCAGAAGGGTTGAGAACAGCCTTATTACTTGATGCAGGAGATGGTGTTACACATTGTATGCCTGTATATGATGGATTTTGTTTGAATCAAGGAGCTTAGAGAATGAATATTGCAGGAAGACATGTTACAGATTAACTAGTCAAATTATTATTCTAAAGAGGATATGCCTTTAATTCTTCAGCTGATTTTGAATTAGTAAGAGAAATAAAAGAAGCTTTATGTTTTGTAAGTTCTGATATTAGAATGGATACTAAATTAGCATAAGAGACAACTTGTCATGAGAGTACATTCAGATTACCTGATGGAGGAAAAGTAAAGATTGGTCAAGAAAGATATATGGCTCCAGAGATTTTATTTTCTCCATGGTTACTTGGAAAAGATGCACCTGGATGTGCTGATATTGTATTTAATGCAATCTAAGTAAATAATATTTTATATTATATAATAGAAATCTCCTATTGATTCAAGGAAAGTATTCTATGAAAATATACTTATAAGTGGAGGTACTACTATGTTCCCAGGATTTCCAACTAGATTATAGAATTAATTAAGATCAATTTTTGAAGAAACTGTATTAAAAGGCAATACTGCATATGCTGCTAGTTCTAAGATTAAAATTAAAGTTTTGGTACTTATTTCAATTTCAATATTCGTCTTTAGGATCCAGCAAGAAGAAAATATAATGTATTCATAGGTGCTTCTTTCCTATCAAATGTAATGAAGGATAAAAAAAATTTCTGGATCTCCAAATAAGATTGGACAGAATTAGGAGCAGAAAGAGCCATGATGAAAGTTATGGAATCTTTATTATGAAATAAATAATTGTATTGCAAAGTGATATTGACAAATAATTATTTCTTAATGTATAAAAAGAATAGTTTGATAGATCTTACTCCAATCTCAATAAGTAAATCAACACATTTAGGAAAGAACAAACCTTTCTGTCCATCCTTGTTTTTAAATTAAATTGATAGTCAACCTAAAAAATTTGAAGATGACTATCGTGAAAAAGTCTTAGAGTTAGAAATACCAGAAGATATAATACTTCCAAAGACTGTTCGAAGAAGATATGCTATTGGGAATGGATTATCTCCCTAAAAGACAGATTAAATACTTCCCAGTCTCTCTTTACATGTAACAATGCAAAAAAGGAATATGGATGATCTTCTTCAACTTTAAGAAATTTAAACGTAAAGGGAGAATACAGAGATGGAGAACATAAATAAAAAGATTAAATCCATCATTAATAGTAATAAAAGGTAAGTTTCTTTTTAATCTTCTCATGTTATTATTGATGAATTTGATAATTATTAAGTTGTTCAAGATTTACCTACTTAAAGACATTAAGCTCCAAAGAGAAGAACACATCTCAAGTAGTTGACAACTGAAATATGATTATAGTCATAATTTGATTATATAGATTATATTTAACTATTTTTTCATCAATAATATTTTTCTTAAGTAAAGGAATATTTCCTCTACTGAGAAGATAAGATCTCGATAAATTAAATTAATTTTTTCCATCAATGATATTTTATAAATAAATCTTGGATAAATAATTATTAACACATTTAATTAATAATTATTAATAATATGTTTTTTAAAGGGAAAAAAGAATCAAATATAGATAACTTCAATCCTGGAGTAGGACTTTATGATATTATTACTAAATTAGATAAACCAGTACCAATTATGCATTCTGATAAACATGGTCTTCATAAAAAAAATGAATCATATCCTCAATGTGATTCATAGCTATCTTATGATCGAAAAGTTGATTTAAATTATCCTTTGCATAGTTATGCTAGTGGAATTTAAAGAGTTAGACAAAATAAAATATATTAAGAACTTAAGAAACAAGTTAAATTTGATAATAAACTAAATGAATTTAACAATGAATTTGATAGTTAAGTGCGTTCCACTATTAAAAAGGGAAAGCTTGTAAAATTATAGAAATTGTAAAGAAATTCACAATAATCATTAAATGATTCACAATCTCTTTATCTAGGATAATAATCACCAATAAGCAAAAAAACAACAAGCTAGCAATATTTGAAACATCCGCCTAAATTACAATCATTAGAAAGTTTAGAACTCTTTCTCTTAAGAGATAAATTATAGAAAGTATAAGATATACCAGGCCCTGGTTCTTATGAGTTACCAAGTGTTTTCAAATAAACAGAAATCAGGGTTTAACCCTTCGGAAAATAATAAGGGAGAACTAAATACATAGATTAAGAAGCTTCAGTTGGTGTTGGATAATATAACATACAGGATTAATCAGTAGTAAAAAGTGTAATAAGGTTTGACAAATATTCGAAGAGAGTAAGTATTTTTGAAAACAAATAAAACTCTCCAACATATTATGATAATAATTCAAATCTTATAAGCAATCAATCCAAACTTAATCTCGAATTTCCTATTGCCTTTGGTTCTACCTCAAAAAGATGAATATTATGTTATATGTAATCCAATTTTAATAAAATCTATAAAAAACATTTTATTAATCAAGTATATACATAATATATACCATAAATTTCTCACTATATTATTTAGAGTTTCAACATAGACTGTTTAAGGTATAAATATTAACTAATTCTCTAAATTTTATCATCTAATCATATGAATCAATATAATAAAATGAAAAATTCATTAATTAAAATCATCTTTAATATATATATAGAATAATTTCATAAAATTTTAAATCAATTAAGTAATTAAAAATTCGGCAAATTTTATGAAAAAGGATTAGAAAGGAGAAAAATTTAGAAACAAGGCTTTGTAATAAATAAAATATGTGAATCAACTAGTTTTAGATTAGTTTCAATAAATTTATGTAGAATCAGACATAGAATCAGTGGATATCTAATTATTAGATGACTTTGAAAAAATGGGACATTAAGAGCCTAATGAAGAGGGAACTGGAAGAATTTCAATAAAAAAGAATTTCGATACTATTGGTATAGTTAATTTAAGTCTTGAAAAATAATTAAATATCAATGATATTAAATAATGGATCAATACATATCTAAGATTGAGAACAACAGTTATCAATTTAAATTTAGCATTATATTATGATAAATAATAATTTTATATTGAAGATTTGAAATAAAAAAAAAAGTATAAATTGAAAAAAAATAAATTGGAACATATAGATGCATTTAGTATTTTCGATGTATTAATAAAAATAAAACCAAAACATATTTGTTCTTTAATTGCTATAATAGATTAAAACATCTTCGATCCATTATAACCTGAATCAAATATTATAGGAAGAGCTTGTGGTGATGGTGTTTGTGTAGTATAATTTTAGGAAAATCAAAAAGTATTTTATGGTACAATCGTTCATGAATTAATGCATACACTTGGTTTTGATCATTGCTATTTATGGAATTGCTTAATGAATGAAGATGTTGATTCTAGTAGTTTACATTTATGTGTTAATGATTTAGAAAAGCTCTCTATGATTAAGAATTTCAATAATGTTAAGCGATATAAATCTTTGTTTAGTTTCTATAAGAAGATGGGATTTTAGGAGGAATGTAAATGGATTTAAAATATGATAGAGATTCTTGAATAATGAAACTCTATTTAAATAATTATTATTAAATTTATACATCTAATAATCCATAAAATATTACAGTTTGTTTGAAAAAATCTTAAATTTATATTTAAATATGTTGATTTATATTTTGAAATTATTATCTTATAAGATTTGTTTTTCATGAATAGATTCAAATATATATATATTCATTTTCATATCGAAAATATTGAGAGTATCCAATAAAAAAACTATTGTGTATTATTAAATTGATATTTTGGAATAGAGAAATAAATTTTGCTAAAAAGAAAATTAAAGAAAAATTAACATACTTATGTCAAATAAAACGCAAATATCTACATAAGCATAGGCTACAGGTGATGATGTTCCATTAGCATCTTTAGTTTAATAAATAAGATTAAATAATCAAGATTAAGAGGATGTTCCTTAAAAGACCAGATTACCTGCATCACAAATAAATCAAGATTTAAAATTAGCATAAGAAGTAAATAATAATTTTCGATAACCTATTCAATAACCATTTTCATAACATTTAATAATTTAGCAGCGATAGGAGTAATATGAGATGATTCAATAAAAAAAGTAATTAGACTAACCTAATGAGATTGATGATGAAAATAAATCATTTGGGAATTAAGAATTTAAAAAAGAGGAAAGATGTATTATTATTTAATAGTATTAAGAAATTTTATTAGCACCATCTTAACCTTATAGTAGAGAACCTTAAGTGTTAAAATGTGAGAAATGTTAGAATGTAATGATAACAAAAGTGGAATCAAAACCAGGATGGGGAAGTTGTTTTTGTTGCTGCTTAATGTTTTTAACTCCTTTTTTCTTTTTGTTTTTTCTACCTTTCTGTATGAGAGTATTAAGTATATGATATGTAAGTAATGCAAAGATGCTCATCATTATTGTTAATCCTGTTCAAATAAACTTGGTACATATTATTTTATTTGTGAATGAAAAATATAGTATATTATCTAAACTTTGAAATTTTTAAAAATAATACTTAGATATAATAGATGTAATATTTAAGAATAATTTGTAATATTAAATAAAAAGTTTATTCATTATAAAGCTTCCTATTAAACTAAATGTATTGTTATAGGATTGCTATCTCTTATTTAACATTTAACGATATCAATTTAAGGATGAAAAACATCTTTGATTCTAAATATATTGAGATTCTATGTCTCTTCATCTAAAACATAAATAGAATCTTTATAAATAGCCATTGATAAATCATCTTGTAAAGTTCTTTCATAATCTTTAGGTGCTTTTTCAGCATATGCTTCTAAATTTTCTTTTTCATTTTTCTTTTTTGCAATAGGATTCTTAATTTTAAATTTCAAAGTAACACCTGCTTTGACAAGTTCGAAAACTTCAATAAAAAAGTCTTCCTCTGTTTTGTAATAAGATATAAATAATTTTGGACTTACCATATCAACAATTGGTTTTGTAAATCTTGAGTTTACGAAAGGGGATTTAAATGATAAATCAACATTGAATTCCCAATTATCTTTCAATATATCATAAGTAAAATAAATAAGTTTATCTGAAGTCAGATCAATCTCACTTGAAACACCACCAAATAAATAAATAATATTTTTTTCCTCATCATGTAGGGCTGTTCCTCCATAAATATTGATAGGTAGATTTTTTAAAGATTTCCTATTAAAATTGATTAGAATAATAAAATTACCATTATCTGGTTTTAATAGTATAGACAAAGACCTTATCAGTAATTTATTTATTAAGGTTGTCTCCAAGTTCATAGCCTCCAATTACATAAATCTTTCCTTCAGCATATAATAAAGATGGACTAAGGATTGGTGCTGGAATATCAGGCAATCTCTTTAAAGTAACAGTTTGTGTATCTTTGTGTTTATTATATGCACATTCATAAAGATGTTAAGTTTTCATATCCTCTTTAAGGGCTCCAGATATGTAAATAACATCAACAAAGTTAAAAGTAAACATACAGTGCTTGGATATTTTAAAATTAGTTTAATTTGGTTTTAAGATTGATACCTTCATAAATCTTGGGTCTTTCATATTTTCTAAAGGAGTAATAATAATATAGTTTTGACCATAACCAACCCATAAAATAGCTTAAGCTTTACTTTACATTTCATTGAAATCAACATTTTAAGCTGTTAATTATTTACTTAAATTCATAGCTGAATTTAAAATATTAAGATATGGTGTTTTTTTAGGTAATTTATATGTTGATTTTAAAAATTCACTTAGTCCATCATAAATTGTTATTGCAGGATCTGTAAAATCCATTATGTCAATATCTTATACTCTTTAAAGTGTTGCTAGACAATACAAAACTTTGACTGCATCATCAATATCAGTAGAGAAATTCTTTCTATTAGCTACATACCAACCTGATATTTTAATAATTCCAGCTTTAGTAAAACATAAGCTATTAGTAGATAAATTTCCATGTTCCATATGATTGTCTTTTAATTCTTTTAAAGCCTTAAAGATAATTTTTACAATCAATGCTAATTCTTTTGCTTCAAAAGTATTTTTATAAAGTTTTCTATTTTCAACTTCAGAATCTAATGTAGTTGAAATTTCTTCATTAACATAATACATATAAAAAGAGTTTTCTTTGATAAAATTTATGATTACTTTCTTCAGAACATGCAAAATATTCAATAGGAGTCAATAGAATTTCTGATTGAATTTTTTTATTAAATGCTTAGAACAATTAAGATACTTCAACTAAGGAATCAACTTTAATTTGATGTAAATAAAACTTTTATTTTTCTTCAACATTTTCAGCACTTAAATAAGCTTCATTTTGATCTGCATACAAATCTTTAATTATACCATATTATCTTACATGCTAAAAATTATAATAATTATTTTATACTTTTGAATATCTTCTAAAAACACTTTCATCTACTTATTTTTATTATGCTTTTACAACAAAATTTAATGTTTTAGGAATATAAAGCAATAAGTCTTAATTTGTATGTAAAGAATAACAATTTAATAATTCAATACATGCTTAATTTGGTAGAATATTATATACACAATGAACTGTCTCTATCTCTTTTCTAGCTAAACAATGCAAATATCCATTCTAAAATAAATAGTTATGTCCTCCAGCATCTAAACACTTTAATTCAAAAGGTTAATTTCTAGTTTCATAAGCATTCTAATACAAAATTGGATTCTCTTTATTATTCTCTTTATAATTCTATAATTGTGTAAGTGAAGCCAATGAATAAAAACATCTAAAATTAAAATCCAAAATAAACAAATTTTTAGATGCTTACATTAAAAATACTCCATGTTGAACTTCTATACAAAATACAATATGTTTTATTTTAAAGTTTAATAAACAAAATTGTTTGAATATTTCATCTGTGCTACATGCAAATCTCAATAATCCTTCTTTGAAATTTCCTTTTCTTTTTGAAATATCATAATAACAATATCTGATACCATTTTAAAATACATTATTATAATCAGGTATACAATAAATAAAATTATTATGAGGATCAAAGAAATGAAAAGAACTTCTATGCCATTAAAAATTCTTAGGTCCTTAATAAATTTTAATAACTTTTTTGCTTATATAATCATCATCTCCATAATTATATACATCTTCTTCATTATCATTTTTTACTAATTCTAAATTAAATGCCACTTCAAAAGAATTAAAATAAACTTCTTAAGTAGCTTCATCAACCTATTATTATTAATTCATGACCATAATTTTTGATAATAATTTAGGTTCTTAATCTAAGACATTCTACTATTATTATTATTATTTATTTCCTTTTTTAATTTCTTTTTTATCTTCAATTATTTCTAAAGGTTATTCTTAATATATATCATCTTCAATAGCAAAATTTATCACTAATAATTATGGATCTTCAAATTTAACATTTTTTATATTTCTAAATAATTCAACTTCTCTTTTTTAACTAATACTACCTCTATCATGTGATTCATCATAAACTTTTAATAAGAATGTAGATGCATTATGACTAAAGAAAAAGAATTTATCTTCATTTGGATGATAAATTACATCAGATTCTATTTTAAAAGGTTATTTTTTTCTATAAACTTTCAAAAAATGAAATTTATTAGTTTCATAATTATACAAATGAATTTGATTTGCTTTAGTAAAATATAACCATGGTGATGCTTCAGGCAATGTTTTTTCTTTATGATATTATAAATAGGCTCCAAGTGAATCATTTTTAAAATATGTTTACATTCCTTTTTAACGAACACTTTTAATGGCATGATTAATCTCACTCATTTTAGGAATATCAAATTTATCAAAAACACTCATTTATTCAATTAAATGCATTATCATTTAAGGTACATCATTTTCAAATTGAGATGCTATTGACTATTTATAATTGTCAATTAATCTAAACTAATTAGCATATATAAATTTACCCTTCCCATTCATTTTAATTCAATCTAAGTTCAATTAGAGAATCAAAAGTATAAATTTTATGATCAACTAGAAAAAGAAATAACAATGAAAATATTACACAATCATAAATGTAATAATCACTTTCTTATTAAACAAAATATTTGATAATTTTCTAAAATTTATTTATATTTATATTACTTATTCTTTATGATTAGTTTAAATTGATGGATTACTTAATAGAAATTTTTTACCATCTTTTGTTAATATACTTTCAGGTCTTAAGAAACGATATGCAAATTTCTCTTTGTGTAATTAATTTAATGCATCACTCACTTATTCTAAAATTAATAAACTTTGCATTAATGTTTCTAATTTTAAATTTTCTAAAGAGTCGCTCAACGTATTGAATTTTGGTATCATTCTATCTATTGCATAAAGTGTTTTATCTGGTCTTAATTAAACATTAATTGATTCAAATTAACTTATTGTTAAAGAAGTAAACCTTAATAATCCATCAGTACTAACTTTATTCATGTTATACAAATATGATATATTATTTGATGCATTATCAAAATTATCAAAAAGAGAACGTTTAAATATTAATTATGTTCCAAAACCCTAAAATATTTATATTTAAGTTACATCTAACACTTCTGCTGTTATTGATGAACTTGTTGTCTTTAAAATTCTTGCAACTTTGTAACCTTTTGGCTTAAGTAGATTAGTGCAATGTTTCATTGGATCATCCCAATTAACTAAATCCTCATCTTAAATATCCAATTTATGAATTTGATTAATCTCTTATGTTTTTTTTTATAATTGTTGCTAAAACACTGATTATGATGAAATCGTTTAACCAGATCTTAATCCCAAATGTGCTTTCTTGGTTTTTGGAATAACTCTTTTATTAGTGGTTCCACAAATAGAACCCATATGAGATTTTATTTATAAATAATATTGTTATTATTATAATTCAAAACATTTACAGATACCGAATCAATCAGAAAATTTTATAAAAAAATAACTAATTCTCTATATATAATTATATTAAATTGGAATTATTGTTTTGATATAATCTTATGGATTATTTTAATCATCCGTAATATGGCTAATTAGGATTTTGATATCCTTATGGATTCTAATTTTAAGCAGGAACCAAAACTCCACCAGTTGCAGGTTGATATTTGTAAGTATCATCAAATTAAACAGATACAGGCTAAATTAATTAATAAATTTATTATTTACATTCATAACTTGAGGATTCCATCCAGAAGGAGCAACAACTGGTTAATCATAACTTGGTATTGGTTTAGCAACAATTCTAATAGGAAGTTCAATTCCAGGAGTCTATGTACAGCATAAACATATTCCATCCAATTCTCCAGAAGCAGAAAGTTAATAATTATTCATCACAACCTTTCCATTTGTAGTAGGATCCAAAGGTTTATGTTTTCCTTAATCAACCAATGATAATGTCATATTCTTTTTTTGATCATTTAATGCAGATTAACCTGGTTGAAGTCCTGGAATCATAGAACTACCACAAGATCTAAATATCAATCTAGTGTGGCCTTATTTACTCACAATTCTTAATGTATTTGTCAATCTACCTGTAATAGTGGGTATACTAACTTTTGATTAAGAATTATCAATTTCTACTTGTAATTAAGCAACTTCACCAGGTTGATAAGCTGATTTATCAAACTGAAATTTGAATAAAATAGTCTATATTTATATTTAATTAAACTTACTCCCAATGGAATACAGCAACAAGATGTTGGCTATAAAACCTACTATCCTTCATTTTAATTATTCTATTCCTTAATAGGTTCTCTGACAAGAAATTCTTATTTATATTTAATTTTATCTAATGTTTTATTTGGTGAATCTATTTCAGCCTTAACACTATATCTTATTCGACATTCTAAGTCTTTTTCTTAGTATTCAAAAGAACCTGGTAAATTTTCTTTTAATTTGAAATTAAAAGGAAATGTATATTGTCCTTATGGAATCATTCTATTTATGATTTCAACAAATACCCTTATTAAAATATGTAAACTGGTATTTTATGTTGATAAAATTCATTTTCATTATCAAAATGTTCTGTAACTTATTTTGATTTTCTTTATGGAGGATTAGTTCCTGGAACCTCTTCCCATACAGTTTTTGTTTCTGACCATTTTGCTTTTTCAGATCCTTTCACTTTCAAATAAATTGTCGAACTGGGGAAAGCTCCTCCTCCAACATTTAAGTAAATATTGCCTAAATTAATGATTAAATTTACCTTGAACTTCTTCACCTGCAAAATAAAATGGTTTATCAGTACGAATATATAAACCACTTTGTTTTTAATGATCAAACCCATTAGCATTTTAGTTTCCCATAAGTAAATTAAATTAAATAAATGATTATGAGAATACTAAGATATTGTTAAGTATTATAATTTTATTCTTATTTTAATATACAAATGGATCAAATTATATTAAATTTAATATCATAGTTGAATCAATATATATAATATCTAAACTAAATTACATGTCATAACTGTAAAAATAAAATAATAATATTATTATAATCAATCACTTCCTCCTCCTGGACAAACAGCTTATGGTTTTTAAGAGTAGAAATCATAAACAGATTATTTAACTTGATTTATAAGATCAATTTAATCCTTTCTTACTTAACTTGCTTTTTCATACTCTGATAAGAAGTCCTTACACATTTTATCAACTGAATCTAACATTTATAAATTTCTCACCTAAAATAAATCATAAAAATATACATACTTTTTTTCCTCTTGCAGTATCTACAATAGCTGTTTATTAATTAATACACATACTCATAGCTGTTATGTGATCTCTTAATTATTATTCTGTTCTTTTTAGATTATTAAAATATTCAACCAAATGAATATTACGATCATCATATTCTTAAATTTATAAGTCTTCAACATCTTAATAATCTTATAAGTTTTTTTATAATGTTTGTTCAAAATTAACAATTAATTATTTTAGTTTTTCATATACTTCTCTATATCCTCCATTTTCAGTTGCTACTTATGCAAATATCTCAGAAATATCTACTAAAGGTTAATCATTCTTAGCCATTACTGCTGTTTAAATAAAAGCCATTGCTACTTTACCTAATTCAGCTAATGAACAATCTCCTCCTGTAAATCCATCTAATGTAAGTAATACTTATTAAAGTGATGTTAAAGCATCTAAATGATCTCTCTTTTTATTTGAAAATAATCTTGCTGCTTCATCTCTAATTCCTTTCAATATTTTGATATCACTATCTGTAGTCTATTTAGAATTAATTAAAATACTTTTTAAGATTCCAAATTATTATCTAATTCAGATCTTGCTTTATTATTTGATGTAGAACAATTTTCTAATTATTCATTTGCTCTAGAACCAACTTATTCTGCATCTTTAATATCTTTTTTTCTTAAATCTAATTCTAAAGAACATTAATTTCTTTATTAAGTATATAATTAATCATGTCTAATTTATTCTTCATCTATTGTTGATTTTAGATTATCTAAAAATGCTATTGTTGTAGTTTATGCTCCACCTGATTTTATTTAAGTTTATAATTCTGTTAAGATACTTACCAAACTTGGCTTTGGATTTCCAATTATTTAATATCTCTCTAATATTTAAGAGTATCCTATTATCAATAACAAATACACAATGATTAGTTTCATAAAACGAATTAAAATATATTATGTCAAATAATAATTATATTGAGAGACATAAAAGAATACTAAATATTGTTTCTCATTTAGGTTTAAACAAGAAAAAAAGTTCCATTCCAGCATTCGAAAAGAAAAGATTATCTTAATCAAGAATCATATTTTATAAACCAGAATAATGTTAAGAAGAAGAAGAAGATTAATTAATACTCAAAGCAAAAGAAGTATTATCTAAACCAGTTAAAAGAAAGTTAATTAGATCAGAATCATAATTGGTACAAATGATCTCAGATAAATATGATATGCTTAAAGATGATCCTGAAGAAAATAGTGCTTATCATCATATCTAACTTAGCTTAATGAAATTATAGGAACAAGAAATACTAGGTCAATTTCATGAGGTTAAACATAACCTAAGAATGTCTAAAACTTCTTATCCTGATCCTATTACAATACCTTAACAAAAAGTATAAATATAGAACATGTTCGAAAAAAAATGTAGTCAACATACTGTAGAATCACCACAAGAAAATACAATTAGATAAAAAATTAATGATTTCTTATACAAAACAAGAGAATCCTTTAAAGATTTTTAAGCAGACGTTTCACATTATAAAAATCTCAAATAGCATCATCGATTATATAAATAGAGAACTGCCACATATTTCTAATAATGACTTTTCGATTAAAGATTTTTATAAATTTATATATTGATATTTGCAACAAAAATAATCTAATTTACAGAAAGACAAAACATATTTCATAATAGATAGAAATAATATTCCATACTAAAACATATCTTTTATATATTCTATTATACTAATCTTATTGTTACTAAATTTTATTGACCAAAGTAAATAATTAATTATAATACAATATTTTTTTAATAATATAGTTTTTGAAAAATTTATTAAAATATTAAACCCAAATAACTAAATAAATTAATCCAAATTCTAATTCATTTCATTTTATTGTAAAAATGATATTGATAATTTTTTAATTTTCAATTAAGTATTATTGATTATTAACTTTTAAAACATAACAGTATAAGTAATTATTATCTATTATCAGTAATTCTAATTCAAATTTCAATTTTAATTTATCTTAAGAAGAAATATAGAAAAAGGATCATGTTTATTTAATAACTGCAGAGATAGAATTTATTTTCGCAGTCAAATTAAAGAATACATTGAAAGTGGACTTGATATGATTATTTATGATATATAAATAAGAGACTTAATGGAGAAACTATAAAAATTGCAACAGTATTTATTATGTTAATTTTTAGAGACCAGTTCTTAATTTGGAATAACAATTAAAACTGAAAAAAACTTATAGAGACACAACCTTTAGGTTTTATTATCAAAATATGAATTTAATATGTAGTTTTATGATCCAAATTGGAATATTAAATATAATACTCTTCCTCTGAATATAAAAAATTATGAGATGAATATATAGCTTATTTTTTATTTTTATAAAAATGGATAATTAAATTGAAAAGCTGAAAGGATTTGATGAAAATAATATTATAGTTTTAGCAATGGAATTAAGTAGATTAAGAAATAATAAACATCTTTATATTAATCCATTTCAAATACTTAAATAAGATTTACAAATTAAACAAATAGCAATTAGATGATAATGATTATTAATCGTCTAAAACATGAGACTTCAAGATATGTAAATAGAAGTATTATTTAAATATTAATAATATATATTCGTTTTAATAAAAAAGGATGAAAAGTCTAGTTATGATAGCTTTCATAATTACTATATCTAACTGTCTCAACATAAGATAATGCAATCCTGCTATGTGTAAGGGTACTGCTATGGAATGCATGGAGTCAAGTGAATGGTATAAAAATTGGAATATCATTAATATAGTGCCAAACAATTAACCACTTGTTTAAAAGATTTAAAGTCCCATATTGCTGAGGATAATTCCTATGAATAATTTGAGACATGCTTGAATAAGAGTTTTGCAGCAGGAAAACTCTTGGGTTGTGCAAAGACTCAATGTCCAAATTCTGCTGCTTAATTTGTTACCATGATATTTAACTCGGCTTAATCTTAGTCCTACATATCAATAGATTTTAAAAAGTCCATCATTTGATTTAAAATCATCAATAACAATTCATATTTCCTTTAATTTAAAAATCTTCTTTCATATCTCACATTCGTTTGTTATATCATTTAATTTCTATCTAATAAAAATACTAATTATAATAACTATTTGTACAAGAATAAAGGTTAACTAATTTACAAATTCTATAATTATTAAATGAAATAGAGGATATTCTAAAGATTGAGCAAAAGAAAATAAAAATAATAATAATTAATTTTAGATTAAATAATCTTAGTGATTTATTCCCTTAAAATACAAAAGTTTTTAGTGAAAAGTAATATATATTATTGGAAATCAATTAGGTTAATTCCAATTGGTTTAATGAAATATTTTCCCATTCCATTCTCAATTTGAAATATGCATTAATTAATTTGATTTATATCTTTTAATTTTATGAAGCTTAAAAGGCTTATTTGAATAAAGACAAATTATTTTTAAAGCTTTCATATAAATTAGGTTATGTAAAATATCTGAAAATATTTATATAAATCAAAAATCACAATAATATAATAAAAATGGGTTAAACTTGTATGAGAAATTGTTGTAATGAAAGAGATCCAGAAGACGATATTTGTATTATGTTACCTAATAAATTTTCCTCGCCTAGTTATATAACATCAAAATAAGAAGAAGGCAGAAAAGTAATATTATTGATGTAATCTAATCTATATGAAGAACTTCAATCAAAGCTTGAAAATGAATAAAATAACAATTAAGAAAGCTAATAAATTGTATTGAATGTATAAAACTTAATTATTCTAAGATATTTCTTTATTCTAATTTTAAAGAAGAAGATGTTAAGAGATGTTTTAATCTTCTAAAAACTAATGATGATTACAAAGAGGATCTAAAATTGATTGGAATCTATAGAGAATCTTCTTTAAAATATTATAAGAAATAATTGTGTTCTTTATGCCATTTAGAAAATATGGAATGTTATAGTTTAAAATGTTAACATATTTTTTGTAAAGATTGCTGGAATTTAATGATAGAGATTTAATTATCTAATTTTATACCTATTGTGAAATGTTTAGAATATTAATGCTTAGAAAGATTACCTCATTAATTCCTTGAATAGTATTAAATGTACAAAGAAATTTTGGTAAAGAGAATGTTGGAAAATGATAAGAATTATACTTGGTGTCCAGGTATTGTTATTTTATTATTTTAAAGGACTAAATTGTTAAAATTTATATAAATAATAAGGGATTTAATAAAAAATAAAGTGTCATTGTGGTGAAAAGTTTTGTCCTTATTGTAAAGTGGAAAGTCATTATCCAATATCTTGTGAAATATTTAAGGAGATAACATAATTTAAAGAATCAAATTAATCTTGGACAACATTAGATATTTCTATATGCCCTAATTGTAACAGAAATATACAGAAAATTGAAGGCTGTTTATAAATATCATGTATATGTGGAAATAACTTTTGTAACAAATGTTAATAGCCTTGGAATAAAGAACATGGATAAAATTATTTTAATTGTTCTTATGCATCTTATAATAAAAATCCATCTTAAATATTAAATTAATTGAGACAAAGGGAATCTACAATAACTAAGGAAATATTTTAAATATAAAATTACTAATAATAATTTAATTAAAAATAATATGATTATTATACACGTCAATTTTAAAGGGGTTTGCATAATTTAATAAAATTTAAGAAATTTGAGAAAATGTATTAAATTATTTAAATATTTAGTGTTTAATATTTTACATATTATTTAAATGAAAAATTTAATGACAACTAATTAGATCATTATTGTGATAAATATTCATAAGAAATAAATAATTATTAGAGAGTTCTCTTAAATCAATTATAAGATGTAATTATTATTAATGACGCAGAAATAATTAATGACGCAGAAATAAATAATGAAAAGATAGATTTCATTGATTTTTTAAAATTGATTTCTTAAATGGATTAAAATTTGAAAATTTAAAAACATTGTTTTAAAAAATATATCATTGATATATAATTAGAGAAACAATAACAATTATAATGACTTATTGATATTAGAATTTTGTTAGAATTATATTACTTATTAAAATCGAGTAAATCTTTATAATTTTTTTTTATCTTAAATAAAAGAATTATTAAAAAAACAAAAAGCTTGTAGGAACATATATACTGTATTTTAATTAATTCATAAAAATGTATAATATTGAATATTATAAAACTTATAATCAAAAAAGTATAACCGATAATTAATAAATCCTGCAAATTAACAATTAGTGATCAACATTATTAATTCTGAGTTACAGATGCAAGATCAATTAATTATAACTTAAAGTTGATTATTAATATTGACATAGAAATACTGAATATAATTATATTTAAATTAATATAAAATATGGGTTGTGGTTCTTCAAATTCTTCTCAATAAGCAGCAGAACCAGAATAAAAATAGAGAAGTGCTTCAATTAAATCTACTTCAACATCAGAAATAGAAGATCTCATCGGCAAAAAAATTCCAAAAGTATCTGAATGAATATTCAATACATAGTTATTGGTCTAACCTGAGTCAAAACACAAGCAAACAATAGACAATGAAGAATAATTAAAGATGTATAAAATGTTATTATTTAAGTGATTCTTAACTTGCTTCAACTTAGCCACCTCCTGAGGAAGTTGTGAGAGCTTAAAAAAAATAGTAAAAAAAATATAGAGGTGGAGATGATGTTAATCATTAGATCCATGAGAATGTTACAAGAATTGATAGAGAAATGCAATGTATCAAACATCAATATTGTAGAATCTGACATTGACTTGATAAGAAAAAGCTTTAAAGGTCATTTCGTGTTTTTTAGTCTTCCTGAAGATTAAATAGCTTAATTAATAGAACATATGTTTTATTGCACTTTAAAAGCTAATTAATTTATTTTTAAATAAGGAGATCAAGTATCGAATTGATCTCTTAAAATAGGCAAGCTCCTATTTTGTTATTGAAAGAGGATCTGTAGAAATTATAATAAATGATAAACAAATTCGTACATTAGGAGAAGGCAGTTATTTCGGTGAAATTGCACTTCTTTATAACGCCACTAGATCTGCTTCAATCAGAACTCTAACAGATTGTGGATTTTGGTCTCTAGATCGTAGTACATTTAAAAAAACAATTGAAGAGTTGATGTTAAAAGAATATGATGAAAATAGAAAATTTATAGATGAAGTACTAAATCTTAATTAATAATAGGTTCCATTTTTTTCATTTATGACATCAGATTAAAAAGATTCTATTGCACATGCCTTAATAACAACTAAATTTGCTCCAGGTTAATCAATTGTAAATGAAGGAGATTAGGCTGATTCTTTTTATGTAATAAAGAGTGGTGAGGTTTCAGTTTTGAAAGGAACAAAAGAAATAAGAAAGATGGGAGCCAAAGATAGTTTTGGGTATATAATGAAGATTTATAATTAGAGAATAAGCTTTATATGAAAAATCAAAAAGAGGAGCTACTTGTGTTGCTGAAACAGAAGTTAAATGTGTTGCATTGGGCAGAGAAAATCTAACAAAAATATTAGGAGATAAAGTTTAAATAATCATTTTTAGTAATATTATGAGATGGAGTTTTGAGAAAAGTGAAGTTTTAAAATAATTATCAAAAATTTAACTTGAAAAAATAGCTTAGAGAGCTAAGATAGATAATTATAAAAAAGGTTAGGTTATTTTAGAAGCTGGCAAAGCTTGTGATAAATTAATTGTTGTTTTAGAGGGAGTTATGACTAATGCTAAATAAGATTCAGTACCTAAAGGATTATGTTTTGGAGATTAATTTTTAATGAAAGAAAAATATGGATAAATAATTGAATCTTAATATGAAATGGTTAGAGATGGTGTATTAGCTACTATTTCATATTAATCTCTTTTTAAAATATTTGGAGGAGATTTAGAAACAGCATTAAAGAAAAATGAAAATTCACATGAAAAAAAAATTAAATAATTAGGAGAAAGAGCAGATGCATCTCATATTTCAGTTGAAGATTTAATATATATAAAAAAATTAGGAGAAGGTTAATTTGGTATGGTTTATTTGGTTAAACATAAATCAATTAATAAAGTTTTTGCTCTTAAATCTGTTAGTAAAGCTTCAATAATTGAATAAAATTTAGAAAAACATATTCTACAAGAAAAGACTGTTTTGGAACAATGTAATTTTCCTTTTATTATGGGTTTCATAAGAACATTTAAGGATGACATTTCTATTTACTTTTTAGTAGAATATATTAGAGGAATGGAATTGTTTGATGTAACATTTAGATCTATTTTCTAAGGTAATTAGAGACATGGGTTTATTAACAAAATATGATACTTAATTCTATGTTGCCACTATGATATTAGCATTAGAATATCTACATTCAAAATCAATAGTATATAGAGATTTAAAACCAGAAAATATTATGGTAAATGATGCAGGTTACATGTATCTAATTGATTTGGGAACTGCAAAACCATTAATAAAATCAAGAGCTTATAGAACTTACACTATTATTGGAACTCCTCATTATATGGCACCAGAAATTATACTAGGCAAGGGATACTCATTCAATGTAGATTTATGGAGTATGGGTATTTGTATGTATGAATTTATGTGTGGAGGAGTTCCTTATGCAGAAGAATAAGATGTATCTATTTATTATAGCTAAGGATCCTTATGAAATTTATGAAGAAATAATGAATACATAATTAAAATTCCCTACTTTCATTAGAGATAGATAGGCTAAAAAATTTATGGAATAATTACTTAGTAAATAACCAGAAACAAGATTAGGATCATCATTTTCTGCTTTAAAAGCTAATCCATGGTTTGATGATTTTGATTTTGACAAATTGTTTAGCAGAGAATTATCAAAAGTTCCTGTATTACATCTTTATTAATTATTATTTTAGTATGTACCTCCTAAAGATAGAATGATCTCAGAACATGATATTGAGAAGAAATTCTAATAAGGTAAACCAGTTGTTCAAGAAATCAAATAAGAACAATCAATGCAAAAACAAAAATACAAAAAGGAATTAGCCAAAGATCCTAATTGGGACAAAGATTTCTGATCATTTTCTTATTCCATTTTTTGACCAAAATAATTATGTCAAAATATAATCATTTAGATTACTTTCACTGTCTTTTTTTTCTTAATTAATTTGCTTACAAATTTACATTTTATAAATTTTATTGAAATTTCTTTAAAGTCTCTCTTAATAATCTTTGCAAAAAGTCTAGCAAAAATTACATAATAATTTGACTATATGTAGTGTAATATTACTAAGATAGAAGTGAGAAATTTAATAATAATAACAAAAAAGAAATTATGGAAACTTCACAAAATAATTAGAAGTGCTGTTGAATTAATCAAAATTGATAAGAAATAAAGAAAAGATGATTATTAATCACCTAATCCTATATATAATTCTATATAAAACATTTTGCTCTAAAAAGATATAATGATTAATCAATATCATCCCCATAATTCTGTTATTAGCTATTGTTTTTATTCTAATTCACTTATCTTTTTAAATGCCATATAAGGAGCAATATTCTCTATTTACTTATACATATCCTGTATTTTATTTGTTATATCTCTACCCATTTATGAGGATCCACAAATATATATTAATCCTTCCATAGTTAAATGGGAATGTATTTAATTTAAATCCATAATATCTGTCACATATTATTTTACTTCCTTTCTTGAAAATGCGACTTTCAAATTACTTAAAGTACCATTCTTCTCATAGTTTTTGAGTTCTTCTTCAAAAAAGTATTCATCTTCAGTTCTACAACCAAATAATAAATCCATATTTCCTTAAAAAGGAGACATATCTAATTTATTTGATTCCAGATAATAATCTCTTTCTTAAATCAAGGCTCTCATAGGTGCCAATCCTGCACCTGGTCCAATTAATAAAACTGGAACCTTAGGATTTTTAGGGAATGTAAATTTTGAATCTGAAAGATAGCCTTTTATTATAGACCCTTTTTTTAAAGTTGAAAAGTATTAACTGCAAAGTCCAAGTCTTTTTTCATACAAAATTAATTAACTTGCTAAAATATGAATATTTTTTGGATATTTCATATTGCTTGATGCTATAGTGAAAAATCTAGGAGTAATTAGAGGACAAATTTCTAATAATTATTCAATAGATAAATTGCGTATATTGTATTTTTTAATTACAGTAAGTAAACTTTCTCTTTTTTTCTGAAAATGTTCTTCATAAAAATCTCTACCTTCAAAAGATGAAGCTTTCAATAACTCTTCTTTAATCTGTTTATTAATTGCCAAATTAGATAATTCCATTAATTGTTTTTTTGTTATTAATCCAGTAAAATCACAATATCTAATTTTATAAATAATTTTAATACTTTCTTAAATAATTTTAGATTGATATAGGATTTGGAAAAGGATGTTTAGATGTTGTAATGATCTCAAACTTCATATTTTTATCAAATCTAAGTTAATTACATAATTCATTGATATCTTGGCTAAAAATAAATAAATATATATTACTCTGAATTCTATGGATAGATAGCAATATTACTAGCTGTTTTATAATTAATATTATCAGCTATAAGATCTATAAATAAAGTAGAGTTTCCTAGAGTTGGTTTCTTTTTTAATTCTTTTATTTCATTTATAGTGAAGGTAATACTAGATTTATATTTTTATGCCTAATAATCTAAATTTTCAAGTTATTCATTTTCTGGTTCATTTGTATATTTGATCTTTTAAATAGATTATTCAAACTTTTTTGGATCACATGTCTATGCTGGATATGTTTATATTAGTGTTTATTCTACTCCTGTATTTATCCAATCTTGATAATCATTTTCAGTTGTATTTTCAGCAGCATTTCCCTTACCTAAAACAAATAGTCTCTTTGCTCCAAGTTCTTCCAACCTTTTATCTAATCTAATTCCAAATTAGCAATAATTTTCATGATTAGTATTTCCAAGTGCAAATACTATATAAGACATACAATTGAATTCATCATTTTTTCTCTCTTATGAAAAAATCCAAGAATTAAATTTTTAAGCATCTGATGAGCATGATCCTACTCCATATGTTGAGACAAAAAATATAGCCAACTTCTATTAAGTTATTTAATCAGGTTCAAATTCACTTAGATTAATTACTAAATTTTAGATAACATCCTTACCCTTAGGAAGAAAGTTCAATTTTCTTATTTAACTTGCGAATGTGAATGCCAATCGACTTGAGTTACCAGATGTAGTACCATAATATATGTAAATTAAACCTCTGGATTCAAAAAATGAAGCAGATGATTAACCACAACCCATTTTTAAAATAAGATTTTGAAATAAATTTAATCGAACAATATTATTTGCTAATATACTAAATTTTTTATTAATATAATTTAACGTAATTTAATGAGTGCACTTATTCTTTCATATCCAAAATAAAAAGCTATGTACAATCCTTAAAAGCCAGCCATATTACTTGAAGGAAATAATCAAAAATGCATCAAAGAAGTTAAATAATCACATTAACTAAATGTAGTTAATAGATTATATTAATAAGATGAATAAAAAAAGAATAAAATCAAATTATTGTAAAAAGAAAAAGATATTTCATTGACTCCTAAATAGAAATCATATGTTAATAAATAATCATAGAAACTTTTAAATAATTTATAATTAAAACCATTTTTATAAAGATAAGATGATGTATTATAAGAAAAAAAGATGAAAGAAGAATTTTAAAAATTATTATTAATAGCACAAGAAGAAGATTAATTATAAAAAAATACAATTATTCCTACTAGATCTCATTCTTAGTTTATTAAGGATTCTTAAAATTGGGTTGAATATAAAGAATAAAAAAAATTAAATTTACTTGAAGAAATAAATACATAAAATATATATTCATTTAAACCTGTATTAAATAAAAAATCTTTATAAATTGCTGATTAAAAAATGAAAAATAGTAGTTTAAACTAAGTTGATAAAGTTGATCGATTATCCATACTCATAAGAGAAAGTTTAGAAAATTAAAAAGAAAATCATAGTTATAGTCCTTGTATTAATACAAAATCTAGAATGATAGTAGAAAAAAACAAATAACAAAGAAGCAAATCTCCATGGAATCGTAAATGATTCAATATATAGATTTTATTATATTTTTTTTGATATATCTTAAAATATAAATATTTAAAATTAAAGAATTTATGAAATATCTAAAAAAAAGAGTACAACAATTTTTTCTTTTAATTAAATAAGAAATTAAATAAATACTTTATTCTTTGATAATATATTTTTATTATTATTTAATATATTTGAATAAATTACTTAAGTATTTAACATTCAAGTATAAATAAATAAATTAATGAATAATTTATTGGTTATCTTCCTAATTACATTAAATGTAATAAATGCATTTGAATTGGATGTTTATAGAATGGTAGGTATTGAATAAGATCAATTTTGGAGTGGAAGTAAGATAGCATCTTTCTAATTACTCACAACTCATTGGTCAGAATTGTCATCAAGAAAAGTGGCATTAATTAAATTTTCAGAAATAAATCCTAATTCAATATCTGAATTACTTACAAATAAACCAAATGGTGTTTTGATAATTCTAGATCAAATATCTTAAGATAATGAATCATAAATTTGGGATTTAATCACAACTAATTTGGGTATTTAATTTATTAAATGTAGGTCCTAAGGGAGCAACTATCCCCATTTATTTCACTTATGAATCTGAGAATATTAATAATCATTATAAGGAAATTCAAAGTGAAGCAGAATAAGAATATTAATTATAGGTCACTAGTGTAGATCAAAAATAAGTGCTTACTTTAGAGGACTCTTATGTATAATTAATATATAAAATATTAGAATTTATTAGAAAGCATATCTAACTTTAAGTAAAACAATCCATCTACTCTAATTGTGTTAGGAATAGATGAATAATTACCATCAGCTGAAATAACAATACCAATAGATAGGTTTGGAATTTAATCATCTATCTTCTTTAAGATTGCTAGAGAGTTTAAATATTAATAAAGATTGAAGTATTAATTATTTAATTATATTAGTCGAAATATCATATTTTATATTTCAACCTCTTCAACTTTAAATGAATATGGACTTAAATAATTCTATAAGAAATAGGAATACTAAAGAATCCTATCTACTATAGACACGATAATAATCTTTGATTAAATTAAATAAAATGAAAAACTATATGTTGAAGTTAGTCCTTAACTTTTAAATTAAGTTTAAACATTATTGACTGAATGTGAAGTAGCAATTGAAGAAGCTGAAACTACAAATATTTAAAATAAAGAAATAGACACTATCAGAATATATACATAAAAATAACTCAAAATATTGACTCAATAAAATTAAACATAAGTACAAGACAACTAATAACATATAATAAATTTAGTTAGTTAATTGATTGATGGAAAACCATATGAATAATAACATTAAGATTAATTATTTGATGAAGCATTAAGTTAATTTATTAAAACATCTAATAGACATCCAGCAAATTTATAAAAAGACTCAAAATTTATGATTGATTTCAACTCTGTAAATTTATTTTATTATAAAATAGTTATTAAGATAATTATTTAAACATACAACTAAAATGCAGTATGTTGTTAAGGATAGAAAATTCTTTACATCATCTCAGTTAAAAGGACAAATTATTAAGTTTTATTCAGCATTTATTGATTTGTATCTTATCTTAGGAGTAGGTGCATGGTTAGTCATCATTTATGCAATAGCAAAAGTAAATATAATCTTTAATTTAGTATGTTCCATTATTTAGAAATGAATAGAATGCTAATAAAAAAAGAAAGTGATTTATTTATCGATGTAAATAAATTTTATTTGTTATAATTTTAATAATAAATGGGAAATCTCTAAACTCTAATAAATTATCATGCACCATTGAATTATGCTTAAGATCTAAATGAATAGATAATAGATTAAGGAATGCTAGAACATCCAGGTTTAGGTTAAATTTAATTATGGAAAATAAAAGAATCTAATCTACCTATGTTATTTTCATTTGTAAAATATTAAACTACTTTTTAGCATGCACATATATTTGAAAAAGATTCATCAATTATTGAAATACATAATTTTCGTAGTTCACTCTAACATCCTAATTTAATTGAATATTTTGCATGTACAGGTTCAAAAGCTCTAAATATTGGTAATGTCTAATCTTAATAATTCTTTTTTGCTTATTATTCAAAAACTTTAAAGGATCATATTTAATCTACAAACATGACTGAGGTATAAATATGGAAGGTAATAAATAAATACTATTATCATAGATAATTGAAGAAATAGTTGATGTTATGGTATATTTATAAGGAAAAAATAGATATCATGGTAATATCAATTCTTAATCAATATTCATAACTGATAATTTTCATATCAAATTATTAGACAAAATAGGATAAAAACCAAATAGAAACTCTATAAAAGATGATGTATATGATTTAGGAATTCTTGTAATTGAATTATTAACTAAAAGAAGTAATATATACATAATAATCAAGCAAATTAATTAAATTTTATTTCATAAATAAAAAATTTACATGGAAAATTCACTTTATAATTATTATAATTGGTTGCAAAGATGATAGATTAAAATCCTGATAAAAGACCAGATTTTAATTAAATTTAAAAGATGGTTATCAATAGATTTAAAGAACCTATATCATTCAATAATCCAGATAAGATTGCAGATAGAAATAAATTAACTTCAAGAATATCAACATAAGTACCTTTATTATCTTAAACTGATGAAATTAAATCAATTTAAGAATAATCTCTTTAAATAACTTAATTACCTTATTTGTTGTCATAAAAATGTGCCTTTCCCTCAACAATTCTTCGATGCAATACCATTAAAAATTTATAGGATTAGCATTCAAATAATCTATCACCTTATAAAAATAAAACTTTTGAATCAACTCCACGTAAAATTTGTTCAGATAAGATGCCATAATAATCTACTACTGACTATAGATAAAGCCCTTAAAGTATATATTTATTTCAATATTTAGACTAAAGACATTATGATAATTAAATCACTCCAAGGACTTTAGACTTTAATATTTAATATTAAATGAATTAATGAAATTATTATTCTAAATTTTAATTATCACTAAACCTAATCTTAAATTTGTAATCCTCTTAATTAAAATTTAATAAAAATACTCTGAAAAATCAAGTAATTATAATTTTTATATGTTAAAAAAAATAATTAATATATAAATTTTATGACAACACAATCTGGCCCATTTTCTACTCCTGCTTTTATTATTAAGCTTTATGATATTTTAGATGAATAAGTAGATTCAATGTATTTATATAAGAATTAGGTGTAATTTAATTAGATTATTAAATGGAGCGATGATGGAGAGTATTTTATTGTTTTATAACCAAAATTAATGGAGAATGAAATCCTATTGCAATACTTTAAACATAATCATTATTAATCATTTCTTAGATAACTTAATATGTATGAATTTATTAAAGCACGAAACTCAGAAAATTATGAGATATTTAGTCATCCCTTCTTTAAAAGAGGCAATAAGTAAGATAATATTAATGTTTTAGAAAATAATTATCATTGATTAAACGTAATCCTATTAAAACTAAATGCAAAGTAAAAAAAGAATTGAAGTCAGCTGTAAAATAATATGATTTTTAAAAATAAATGGATTCAGAATTATTATTTTTAAAATAAAGACAAACAAAATTTGAAACATAATTTTAAGAGATAATATCATAAAATGAATAAATTATGGATCAACATAAACAAATATGGTAAGAACTCAGTAATTCCAAAAAAACACTTGATGTTAAAATTGATAGAATTAGTTATTTACTTAGCTTTATAATCCAATAATAAGGTATTAATAACTAAGATTCTATTGAAATGTTAAACTAAATTTAGTGTAAACCAAAATAAGAATATTAACCAGTGGAATCATTGTCTCCACTATTAAAAATGATGCAAAATCAAATGAATTGGAACTTAAAAATGCCAACTCAACTGAGCACATATAGTCCCGTATATAATGATTAAGGTATAATATTTCTATTAATTATAAAATATTTAGCATATTCACCTCTAGCCATAAGGAGCTAAGAAAGTCTTGATAGTTATTAAAGTATAAGTCCCTTTTACTAATAATTCAAAGACTAGTGATAATATAAAATAACTTTATTAATTAATTATTAAAATCTTATCATTTTTCAGATTCAAAAAATAAGAAAGTTTAATTCATATAATTATATGTAAAACTATCAACAATCCTTATTAAAATATCAATAATTTTATGGATATAATTGTACATCTTTAATTTGTAATTAATATTTATATTGATATGATAGAGTCAATTTTATAAGTATATCTCTACACTTTGATAAATTGATGGATTATAATAATTAATATTATTTCTGAATAAATAAATCAGTAATAATAAAATTAATATTAATGAGTCGTTCTAATTTGAGTAGTCCTTAATAGAGAAAAGTTTAATTAAATTAAGTGGGAATTGACAGAAAATTTCGATTAAAAAGATTAACTAATTCATTAAAAGAAAACTAATTTACATATCTTCTATTCGGATTTAAAGCAGATGAAAGATAGGAAAATATTTATATAAAGGAGTTTCAAAGATAAATATAAAATACTCATTCATTAGGTGTTATGAATATTGCTGACTTATGGTCAAATAAATAAATTAATAGGTTTATTGAAATATAAAACTTTTCTAAAGATAAATTCTTGCTTTCATAATTGTCAAAGTAGAGAGTTAGAATTAAAATGGAAAAACAAGAGTTACCAGTTTAATTACATTATGAAAAAATTAAAAGTGAAAAATTGACACTTTAAGAAATTCTCGATAAAGCTAATAAAGAACATTATGAAAATAATGATTTAAAATCTAGAATACGAAAATTGATCACACAGAAGGCTCATTCTGAAAATGTTTGATAAAATAAAATAAATAATATGTTTCAAATTCTTGTAGTACCTCCACTTCTATTTCTTAATTTTTGAGATACACTTGGACAAGGTCTAGCATGTGTACCATTTGAATTAGGTCTCCATGGTCTTTCATATGTATCAGTCTTCAATAATTTTGAAAAAGTATTTTATTTTGTTTTTGGTTCTGGTGCTCCTTCTTCAACATATTAAAAAACTTCAAAAGTTCCTTAAAATCCATATTTATTTTTATTAGATGGTCTAAAAGGTACTCCTTTATATCTTGGACGCTTAACTTTTTATTCAATCTTGATAAAATGAATGAATCAAAATACATATCCTGCTCCATCTAATAAGTCTCCATCAGATGTAAATGGCCTATTTCCATGACTTGTCGAAACAAATCTGATGGTTCCTGGTAACAATTTACTTTTATATTTAAGTCTCTCTGATCTATCTAATTCCTCTTATCTATCATATGGATCAGGGATGTATTCATAATTTCCAAATAAATTATTTATAGTTCTTCTTCCTAAACCCTTTTTTGCAGGATTTGTTTAGAAATTTCTTGCTTAAGTGATAACTTCTCCAGATGCTTTCCTAGTATTATACTTTTTATCGTCATATTCTTTTAAATGCTCAAATTCGGAGTGTTTTCTAAATAAATATGATACCAAGAGAGGTACATAGATTTAGATTTGTCAGTAGGTTTAAAACTTTATGGATTTGATATTGCCATTTCTTTTTCTTTATCATAAATTTATTTAGCCTTAAAGGGATCTTTGTAAGGATCACCTATTGAAATATAACCTGGGTTCATAAATAATGAGGGTTCATGATGATTTTGTATTTTTTAATTAATTAGAACTCCCTTTTTGTTTCCCTTACCTACTTAGCATTTTCTTAATACTTTTTTAAGAATCGTTATATTAATCACCAACTGAAAGAGGAGGAGGCTATGAGAATAATCCATGCCGTTCTCTAAAGATAGTAAATTTGAATTACCTTTAAGAAAGATTCTCTAAATCACGAATATATTGATCATTAGTAGGTATTCGATATTATGTAGACATTTATAATATATATATTTTTATTGTTTGTATATATGATTTATTTCTCAATGCCATAATTTTAATGGATTATTCTATTCTAAAGTTTTTTGAGCTAAAATTTGATCTGCATTTTGATCTCTTAAATAGATTTCTGGTCTATAAACTGATCTGACTGGATTTTAGGCAATTCTAAACAAATTAGTGATTTAATTTGTAGTTGATAATTTAGCCCAGACTCCTTCAATCAAATTCTTTATTTATTTTTATAATACATACATATCCAACATAAAATACTGCTATAGATGCAATAGTACCAAAAGTAAATGCATGAGCTCTTTACAATCTCAAGTGATAGGATCTTTATTTTGCATCTTGAATACTATAAATAAATAGAAATTTTTACTATGAATATTCATAAAGTTTTTTTAAAGATTCTTCAGCAGTCAAATGTGAACGATTTTGATTTACTAAGTCTTTCATTTATATATTTTTATATTATTAACAAATATAATATGAGTTTTCATCACTATTAACTATCTATAATAGATGTAGCTTTATCTAAAGCACTAATTCCATCTAAATGGTCAATTTCATGTTGATAAATACAAGCTTACAATCCTTCTGCTTCTACAACCATCTCAATTCCCAATAAATTATAATATTTCATTACAATTTTATTTGATCTCATTACACAAACCATTTTCTTATAATATAATTATATTTATACATTAGGTGGAAAACTAAGGCAAAATTCATCGCTTTTTATTAAATCATTTGATTTTTTAATTATCTATGGATTCAAGTAAACGTCAACTTTTTAAATATATTTTGCCTTTTTTCTATATTATAAATCTATGTCAGCACAAACAAAAAGTCTCTTCTCCCATCCTATTTATGGTGCTGCTAAAGCTAAAGCATCAATCTTATGAACTTTATTATATAATCTTAAAGTATCAACCATAATGCTTAGGATATCTTCCTCTTTATTAGTGAAATTGTAATATTCATGACTTTTCTTTCTTAAAATTTCATGAGATATTGGTAAGACTTTAAAAACTTCAAATCCATTTAATAAGTATTTTTACATAAATATTTAATAATCAAAATTACCTATTATTTTCAATCATCATCAGAGCTGCTTTCTACTTTTAACTTTCTTATTCTTCTGCCCTGAATCGATTAAGAAACCTACTTGGAATTATCTACTTATTATTTTGATTCCTATTATTTTTAATTTTATTATTTAGAATTGAAGTCATTTTATTTAGAATTCATTTCACTTAATTTATCATCCTTATTTTTATATTTTGATAATATTTCTTCAACAGGATCTTTACTTTTAATTGCTTTAGACTTTTATACTTTCTCTTCAACTATTTTTTGTTCTTATTTATCATTTTTCTTTTTAGGTTTTTTCATTTATTTTCCTGGCATCTTTTCTTATTAATTAATTAAACGTATCTCTATATCAATCATTTCTTAATAAGCCTCTAAAAATTTATCTAAATCCTCTCTCCACATAACTGATATTTCTTTATTAACTAAAGCTTCTCTACTTTAAACTCTTTAATTTAATTCATCTTATAATTTCTCAACTTTTTCATAAGTAAGTGAAAATAATGGCATCGATAGTAAATAATTAAACTCACCTATATCAATTGATGGTGTTTATTATAATTTTTTTGAAATTTATTTTTTTTATTATTTTTCCTCATCTCCTGATACTTCTTCTACTTCACTTTCATCCTCATCAACATTTTTCTACTATTTTTAAGAATCACCAAATGCCTTTACCTTAGTAGATTTTACCTATATCAATTATGAGAAACGAGTGAATCCATACTTATCTAATTGTTTCACTAAATCAATTTTCTTAACATTTCTTATTTTAATCTCTTCACTAATTACCATCTTAATAAATTTTAATTTATTATCTAATAATTATACTTCTCTATCCAACTTAGATATAAGATAATCTTTTCTTTTATGATAAAACTCCAATCTAACTTAATAAAACTCTTCCATAATATCCTAAACACATTCATATTTCTTTATTTTATTATTTGAATCAAATAAAACCATATTGCTGCATGATGCTGGTGAAGATAACTTGAAATATTCTAAGGGATTTCTCAAATCCTATACAAATCCATCAACCATCTATATTTCAAAATGAATTTTGTATTTTGTATGATATTCTCTCAAATCCACAATTTAACTACCTTCTTCAGCCATTTCTTTATCTAACCATTCCTTATAATTTTTTGTCCATTTCTTAATTGTAAGTTCTCTAATAGTAATAATATCTGTGGCTTCATTACAATCTATAAGACCTTTGATAATACCATTACCATTAGGTAAATTTTCAATTATACCATCAAAATTTCTATAAAATGGAGTCATTGGCTAAAATTATTATCCATCCAATCTATTTTTAATTTATTAAACTAATTCTATAGGATTATAATTTTAGATTGATGTAGACCAACCAGTACCTATACCTTCAGCTCCATTTACTAAACTCATAGGAATGATAGGAACATAATATTCTGGTTCAACCATTTATCCATCATCTTCCAAATACTTTAATAAATGATCATCTTATTCAGGATATATGTATCTTGTAATTTTATTAAGAGCAGTAGAAATATATCTTGCAGATGCATGATCCTTACCACCCATAGCTCTACTACCAAATTAACCTTTTGGTAATAATAAATTAATATTATTGGAACCAACAAAATTTTATGCCATACCTATAATTGTAGAAACTAATGATAAATCTCCATGATGATAAGCAGAATGTTCAGCTATATAACCACCCAATTAGACTACTTTAATTTCTTATTTTAAATTTCTCTTAAAACATGCAAATAATACTTTTCTCTATCCTGGTTTTAAACCATCCATTAAAGAAGGAATAGATCTAATATTATCTGCCATAGAAAAATGAATCAATTCTTTATGTATGAATTCTGAATAGCCTAATTCACTTTTTGTATGATCCACATATAAATCATGATTGTATTATGCTAACCATTATTTACGATCATTTGCTTTTTTTTTATTAAAACATAAATCAATTGAATTATCATCTTCATCACCATCATATCTAAATTATATTGTATGTGTTCTTAAATTTTTAAAGTATTCTTAAGCTTCTTAATCATCAGATGTACCTAAACCTTTGTAATATTTTATCTTCCATGTTTTAATATCTTCTTCTTAAGCAAATTTATTAAAATCTTAAACTGTGAAGAATGGTATTGTTTAATTTCCTTTTGTTGCTTTTATTAATGGTGTTACAAACTCTTTTAGAAATCCACGATATTTAACTAAAGATGGCCAAAAATGATGAATAAAATTGATAATTAAACCTTTAATATGTGAACCATCTATATCTTGATCTGTCATAATCATTACTGATCCATATCTAAGTGATTTTAAATCATTATATTATCTTTCCTTCTATAAGCCAATTATCTTTATCAAATTTTCAATTTCTTCATTTTATAAAATTTATTTTAATGATGCCTCTCTTACATTCAAAAGTTTACCCTTTAAAGGAAATACACCATATCTATCTCGTCCTACAATATCAATACCTGCCATAGCTAATGCTTTTGCTGAATCTCCTTCTGTTAATATTAATGTACAAAGTTCTGAGTTCTTTTTTCCTGCATCATTAGCATCATCTAGTTTTTCAATTCCATGTAATCTTCCAGTTTTTGTACCTTTCAATTATTTATTTAATTTAGCATCTGCTTTAGCTTTGGCTTATTAAAATATAGTTTCAATAATATCTGTTTTTATTAAAGCTTTTGAGAATTTCTCAGTTACTTTAAATTTTTCTTCATTAGTACCTCCAAATTCTGATACCTTAGTTGTCATATTTTCTTTTGTTTATGAATCAAATGTTGGATTATCAATTAAGCAATTAACAAATACCCATAGTGATTATTTAATTTGATATTTTTAAACTTCAATTGATTTGTACTTTTTATTATTATTCATTTCATTTTAAATTTCTTATATAATTTTATCTGTCACATAATTTACATGTGTACCTCCCTTTGCAGTATAAATAGCATTAACAAAAGAAACATGTTAAAATTAAGTAGGTGAATAACTTACTACTACTTCCCATCTAGGAGTAGTCATATCTTTATCAAATATTTTAATTGCTCCTTCATTAGGTAAATATAAATCAACATATTTTTGAAAGGAATTGATTTTAATTTTTTCATCATTTAAATATACATTAATCTTATTACCATAAATTCCTGCTAAATCATATACTCTTCTGGTTAATAAAGCCTAAGTATCAGATTCTATCTCTTTCATCCCAAATCTCTTATAATCTGGTTTATATGAAATAATCACAAAAGGATCTTTCTTCACTTATTTAATAATTGGAATTTGTTTGTTACTCATATTATTGTTCCATACCAACTTAAAGTAGCTATTACCATCACATACTTCTAAAGTGAATTCAGTAGAATAAACATTTGTCAATTTTGCTCCATATCCATTCCTCCCACCTACCACTCTTTTTTCAGTATCGTCAAAATTGCTTCCTGTTAGAAACACTCCAAATATTAATTCTGGAACATAAATTTAATATTCTTTATGGATTTCAACAGGTATAGGAAATCCATCATTTTTAATTGAAATTTCATTTCCTATGTCTACTTTGATATATGATTATTTATGTTAACGTTTATCTCTTTGTAAATTATCAGCTGCATTTACTAAAATTTCATCAAATATTTTAAAAAACCCGGGCACATATTCAATTTCTTTTTAGATCATTTTTCCATTTTATATAATCCACATTTATTCAGTAGTTCTTTATATACTACCAATATATGTATCTGGTCTTTAAAGAATATGCTCAATATGAGTCATCTTCTTATATTATTCTTCTATAGTCTTTTGGCGCATAATAATTGAAATAATAAACAATTTAAATTTATTCAACCAGAGAATAGAGATTAACTGCGAGCCTCTTAAACTTTTTTTTCTTTTGATTGATTTTGCATAAGGGTTTAAGTCTTTCGATGTTAAGGAACTTCATCAATTATTATACAGCTTTCCTCATTTAGACTACCTTCCTCTCCATCCATATGACATTACAAAGTAATCTGAGAATCACTAAACAATGAACCATGAATAGTTTCATAATCTTTCAAACACTAATTAACTGGTTTCACACAAGATTTATTAGCCATGAATTTTAAAAATGGTATTAATCTAAGTAGACATTCATCCTCATCTGAATCCAGAAATGAAGGAATCAATAATCCATTATCAGGTTATAATTCAAAAGCATTTGGATTATTCTATTAATGCTATAAATATTATACATCTATAAAAATTAACTAATCTAATGGACGATCTAATATTGCAAGATCTTTTAAACAATTTCCATTTACAAATATACAATTAGATCTAGCATAATAATCACTTATGTGTTTATCTACATCTATATATTGTAAAACTTTATCACAATATGATTCATAGCCAGCAGTAAATATGATGATCTCGTAGTACACACTCATTTACTTAAGAAATTCTCTTAAATATGGTCTTCTACATAAGTAAACATTGTATAGCACTCCTCTATGCCAAACATCCAAAATAGTTTCGTAATTGAAATTTTGATTTTCTTTAAATTCACAATGTACTAAAGTTTCATCCAAATCAAGAACTAATATTTTCTTTTTCCTTCCTTCTGATTCCTATGTAGATAGTCTATAAGATTCTTCTTGTCCTTCCCTTTTTTGTTTAAGATTTTCATAGCATTTTTTTATATATTACAAACAATTCATTTTAATTACTCAATGCTATATTGAATGATTATTTTTATGAAAAATAGAAAATCATCACATCTAATAAAAATTTATGTTTTTAAGTAAATATTAATGTATGAATAAATCTTTTGAAATTCTATTCAATATTTCAGCAAACAAAAATTAAATTTCATCATTATTTATACTCTTAACAACTGTTGTTAATCTAAATCAATTTTTTGGCTTACTAAATATTTTAATATAATATGATATGGTATTTCTGAAACTTAAACTTCTTTTTTTTTAAATTATAAGTTTATTAGTTGATTTAAAAATTCCAATTATATTGAGATTAATAATTTTCTTATAAGATTAATCATACAAAAAATTATTAAAAAAACTATTTCAATTAGATATAAGAATTACTATAATTTAGATAAGAAGAGTGTAATATTATTAATGATGTTCCATCCTTTAATATAATTACTATTTCATATTTAATCGATAATTGTAATATATAAAATAATAAACAAAATTTAATAAAAATGTCAAGATATTTGAAATAAATGTATAAGTATTAACTGAAAAAGTGTAAAATCCATCATTTCAAATAAAAATTATAAGTATTTTAACATAATCATTTAATGAGTTAGAATTTTAAAGATTATAAAATAATTTTTTATTTGATTTCATATTATATAATTATAAATTATTTTGTTAATCATTTTGAATAGAAAATAGTAATTAAGTATAAAATATACTCAAGAATAAAACTCATATGTTCTGTAAAAATATTCTAAAATAATAATCAAAAATATTTTTTTTAATTATAATTAATATTATCTAAAAAAACATTATGTATGAGTTTGCAAATGAGAAAATAAGAGGATTAAATGGATCTAAAATAATTAGATAAGACAAAACAAAATATAGAGTATGAATGAATTAATTAATATAATAGAGTCATAACTTTTTTTCTGTGAATCCTCATGTTCGAATGTTGAGTCAATTATTCTAAAAAAGCCCATATTTAACACAGTTTAAGGAGATGCTCTTTTTAAGTCTTTAGTAGATTTATCTAAGATCTTCATAAATTCTAACTGTTTTATAATGGATGCAACCGCCAATCTTATGTAACTCATAGAAAAAGAGAGATCAATAATATTTAAAAATTATTCAATATGCTCAATAAACTAGATAGTTAGGAATCGTACCAGAATAAATATATATAATTGAAATAGAGAGGTTACTTAAAGTTATATAAAATGACAATAAAGAAATATCTTTAAAAATTCTATATGAATTATGTGTAGCCATGAATTGCATAATAAAGGGTAAATAAGAATTTGTTTTATATGACAAATTTTTTGCTTATTTATATCATCAATTTAATTCAGGATATGATTATGTATAATAGTCTATTCAATAAAGAGAATATTTAAAGAAATAAAAAGAAGAGTAAAAATTAGGTAAATTAAATTAACATGGTTTAAGAAGAGTAGGATAAATATCAATTTTAAAGAATGAATTTTATTTAGAAGAATAGTAAAATGATGGAATTAGTAATATTCCTTAATTGTTAACTATAGATTCATAATTGAAACTTCCAAATTCAAGATTATTATCAGGAAAACTATCATAATAAGTTTAAAATGCTGAAGTAGCAATTCAAGATTTATAAAAAGAAGTAAAAGATTATTACAATATGTATGCAGAGTATTTTTACGATTCAGTAAAAAACTTAATCCAATATAAAGGTGGAAATGAGTCATTAAATTATAAATTTTTAGGATTGAAATTTAATATGAAAGAAATGCTAACACTAAATACAGTATATTTAAATGAAGAAAATGGTACTAAATTATATTTGCATTAATATCAACTTGTATCTGGATTAAATGAAAAGTAGAATTCTTTAACAAAATACTTAACATATTAATCTATGTTTAATAATAATAATAATAATAATAACAATAAAGAGGATCAAGTTGAAAATCTATAAGAATTTCTTAGATAAAGCCCTCCTTTATCTCCTCATTAATCTAATATACATATTAAAACTGAAACTGTTCATCAATAAACTCATAGCAATGAAGATATTAGAGTTGAATATGAAGATGGAAACTAAAATGAATATGAAAATGAATATGGTGTTTTATTAGATTTTACATTATTTGATCCTTAAACAACTGTCTAATATTAAGTATATTCAGTTAATAGTGAATGTATAGCAGGAATCAAAATAACATTTCCTGAAGAATAAAGTAGTTTTCGATTGATTGAATTTCCATGTATTGAACCACAAGAAGGAGGTTATGATTGTCATACATATCAATTCAAACCATTATCAAATATAAAAGGATGTTAGGTTGAATTAATATAGATGACACCAAGTAGGAGATTCATTAAAAATTTCATTTTATTGGTTTAAGATTCAGATAATCCTTAAGATCCAAATAAATTAAAATTTTTTAAATTTGATTTCTAAAAAAATTAAGAAATGGGAGATATTTAAAATCTACATGATTAGATAATGCCTTATTTTAATGATGACTGGAGGAAATCAAAATTTCCCTTATATGTTAATTTTCTCTATACTCATCTTCCATAAGCATAACAATAATAGATTGAAACATAATTAAAAAAGATTACATTTGCTATTAACAGTATGTTTCCATATGTTGAATATCTAGAAAATAAAAAGAAACTTATGTAACTTCATTTTATTATTAAATAGTAATCCAAATGTATTTGAGATGTATGTATAATAACTAGGTAGATATAAAAATAGAGATTAGTATTAAAGGACAGTATTTATTCAGATTGAAAATTGGTAATAAATTTTACAAGAGAGAATTATAGATAGTATACTAGATAACATCATTATTTTTATTTGGAATGGTGGATTTGAAAATAGAAAATTATAGTGATTATTTATATTATTATTATTCTTTTTAAAAAACGGTTTATATATTATTATTTTTATGAAACAAATAGTCATACTCTTTGTTTTGATTTTATTAACAACAGCTTCTAGTGGTAACTAATTTAAAATAAATAATAGATCTGTTAAAGTCAATATCTAAATTTGCTGATGATGGAGATAATTCATCCAAATTTGCTAAAAGTAAAGTTTCTCCATTTTCTGAAGAAGAATCAGAAGATTATGATAATGAAGACATGAATACTTCAAATAAAATATCATAATAAGATGAAGATGATGAAGAGGTTGATGTAATGGCTTAATTGAAAAGTTACTAACAGAAACTTTCTACAAATAAAGATGTTAAGCCACCTTAACTCTAAAAGAAATAAGTTCAAGTAATTTCTGAATCAGAATCTGAATATGATGATGAAGATGACAGTGGTAATATGTGGAGTAGAGGAATATCAAAAAAATTAGCTTAGACTGAATCTAAACCATTAGTGTTACCATTATAAACAGCTAAAGAATAAATAAAGAATGATTTCAATCAATTTACAAGTTTAAAAATGCCAGAAGTATAATAACGACCTTAAGAAACTAAAATACAAGAAACAAATCAAAAAGTATAAGAGGAATAAGGAAAAGATCATTCAGCTGATTTTGAAAAAATGAAATAAGCTTAATTAGAAAAATATAGTAAAAGATTTCATCTTGATGAACCTAAAGAATCTAAAAGTATGTATGAAGATGATAGTTTGAAAGAATTTATGCCAAAAATCAATTTTCAACCTATTAACATATAAGAAACTAAAACTTAATAGTAAGTCTAATTTATTCCAGAAAAAAAATAATAAAATAAACAAGATGAACCTGAAAGTGAGTCTGATGAAGAAGATGACATCGTATAAATTAATTAAAAGAATTCATCATCCAATAAAAATAATAATAAAATTTCTAATGATTTATAATCTACTTCTGATGCATTCGATTTCTTTAATCAAAATAAAAAATAATAAAAGTCAAATAAAAAAAGTTAAAAAATTGAATAATCAGAAGATGAGGATAGTGTGAATGAATAAGAGCAAAATAATGATGATGAAGATGAAATTTATGTGTAATAGGTAAAGAAAAACAAAAAATAAAAGGAAGATAGAGAAGAATAAAAAAGAAAATAAAAAGAACTTTAATAATAATAAGAGGAAGAAGAAGAATAAAGAAGAATCATTTTAAAAAAATAAAAGGAATTAGAAGAATTAAAATAATAATAAGAAGAGGAAGAGAGATTATAAGAATTATCCAAAAAATAAAAAGTTAAAAGAGATATTGATGATGATTAAATTCCTTAAAAAAAGAAATCAAAAAAATAGAAAAAATAATTGAGTTTAGAAGAATTTCAATAATCTATGAAATTAGATGAAGAATAATCATAATTAACATCTTTTGCATAAAAGGAAGCAAAAGAAAAGTCAATTTTAGAATAGAAAACATTTACATTAGTAAAAGAGACTCCATAATAAATTTAAGAATAAAAAGTATTTAAATTATAAGCAATTCCTAAAAAATAATAATAATTTATTCAAGAAGAAGAATCTGAATCAGAATCAGAAAGTGATAATGATGAAGAGTTTGATGCTCCAAAATCAATAAATTGCTTTGAAAGTAAGAACAAATTTATATAATAAATCTGTTAATTATGTTAGACTAAAGTAGCTTATTAGGTTAACTAATAAAATTGGTAGAAGATTGGAATAAATGAAGGTTTCAGGTATTTATTAAAAATTGTATCATATATCTTAGGAATTTAGGCAATCCTTTGAGCCGCTGATCGAGTTCACTTTCAAAAGCATAGGTGAAATTGGATCATATTATTTAAGTTTTAAAGATCATACTGTATGTTTAAGTGCTGAAAATTTATCTAAAATTGTACAATATCTTTATTAAAATATAGACTAATGTTGATAAAGTATTAAAACACTTTACTGGAAATTAATTAGCTGATTATAATTCCCCAATTGATATTCCTACTAAAAGTTAACCAATTAACTTTTTATTGAGTGCAGAATATGGTAAGTAATAGATAATAAAATTAGATTCTTTATTAAATGGATTTTCATGCAGAAGATTTTAAATAGCTATAAAAACAGATCTAAAATATAAATTAAGTAAGAAAAATGATATTAATGTAAAGTAAATAATCTTTTATAAAAATAAGGTAAAAATAAACTAAATTAATTAATAGTTAAAATTAAAATATATTGGTTTGATTTAAATAAATGGAGTTGTCCATTAAGCCAGTTTTGATTAGGAAGAAGGAGGAGAAGTCACAAATTTAATTGTTACTCAATTAAATTTGCCAAAAGATCAAGGAATAATAACCAGTTTGGTTGATAAATATATTGATGAAACTTTTGTTGCTAATTTGCTTAAGAAATCAGGTAATATATTCTTTTTTTATTTTAGAATAAATGATGGCTGATTTATAGATCTAGACACATATTAAAAATGATGATATAGGACTTACATTTAATTTGAGAAAGAGGAAGGGAAAATGATGAATTTAGATTTATTTTAAATTGAAAAATAAATCAATATCAAATTTCTTCTCCAGCTTATTATCTAAAAGCTAATTATTCTCTAAAAGTTCTTAATTCCTTGTTTACTAATCTGATGTTTTATGAAACAACATCTCTATCAGAAGTTCTGGCAACTCTGGAATCTTAGTAATCTTAAAAGGCTTCTTCAATTAGATAAATTAATCGTTTCTATCAGCACTAACATTCTCAATTCTTTAGTGAGTAGTATTTAAAGAAGCTTCAACTTAGGCAATGACATCATTTAAAGCAGCCAAATCTGATTAAGCGTTTAAAAGAGCAGTCCCTGCAACTGTAATAGAAATGACAACAAAGTTTTTTGTAGGCTTCAAATCTCTTGCCTTCAGCAAATCTTAATAAAGATAATGAATCAACAATCTTGGCCAACAATTCATCAGCTAAATCAATAATCTTTGAGACTTCTCTTGGAAGCGATTATGGCAAAAGCTTTGAATTATTTGCTATATCCCTTTCTGTGTTAAAATTTAGCAGTTTTCTTAGCTGATTAAGTGAAATGCTTTTAGATCATGCTAGAAACCTCTTTTATGAATTTGTGGATTGATTATTTAGTGGCTTTTCCTTTTTAGATGAAAGATTAGTGTTCAATGTTATCAGCAAAAAGTCTTCTAGCTTCAGCAATAATAGCTGTGGCTTCTTTGTGTTCTAATACTTTCTCTTCATAGTCAGCATTTTCTTCAGCTCTTTAAGCATCAAGTTCATCTAAATCTTGTTAGTATCCCTTGACTTCAGCTTATTTTTAAGCAACTAATCCTTATAAGATTCCTCTTTATGGATATAATTATCCTTTTAATCTAGCTTCTAATTCAATCTTTTATCTATTAGACTCAGCCAAATCTTTGTCAAAGGCAGAAATGTCCTAAAATAGTATGAGTCAATAATCTTAAAATTGTGCATGCATCTTAGTATTCGTAATTTCTGGCATTCTCTTCTTTTTATTCGGCAACATATCTATCTTCTAAATCAGTAAAGGTTTAGAGTTATCTCACCAATGGATCTCCTGTTTAGAGTTCGAGCCAGATAGTATCAAAAAATGTTCTACCAAAAGGTGATTTGTCAATCTTATTTAATTGTAGCAATAACATCAGCTTAAGTAGATGAAGCTAAAACAATAAGAGTTAAGGCAAAGATAATTGTCTTCATATATTATATTATTCAAAATCAAAAAATTAGTCGTTTTTATTTTTCCATAAATGACATCTTATTTCAATCAAATTATTTCTTTTTGAGTAATTTAATTAAATTATAATCATTATTTATTAATTAATTAGCATTTACTTTAATTTCTTTCTAAAAAATTTTCCTCTTAACGGGTAAATTATTTATCGTTTTTTGTTTTGGTTAGAAAATATTAAAAAAATTTCTTCGAAAACTATCTCAAGAATTGAAGAATATTATTCCTAAAATTCATTTTTTTAAATAAAAGGTCGCTTTTCATTAAACAAAATAATGAAATTTAAAATAAACTTTATTATTTTTTAATGTTAAGAAAGAAAAGATAAGAAAAATGAAATAAAATCAATATACAATAATCATTAATATATTATTTGAGTAAAAAATTATTAAGAAAGAATCATTGAGTAGAATATATTTTCTTTGATATTTTTAATGTTAAGAAAAAATTTAATTAAATTTAGTTTTATTGATATTTTGATCAATTCTAGAAATTTTTCAACATATATAATTAATAATTAAATTTTTAATGAAATTTTTGATTGTTAATGGATTTACTGCAACTGCTTCTCATTAAAAGATCTTTCATCAATTTAAATAATAAATATTTAAGGTATTAATTCATAATATTTAGATTACTTAAGCATAGAAGGAAGTCGCTGATATTGACTTTGATTTTATTGAACTTGATAGACATAATTTAGAAGAATATTTATATGAACCAGAAACATCTCACATTAAACCTGAAAAAGGGCAGAAATTCGATACATTAGATATTATTTTTATCATAGCATCCCCAAATACAAGGCCTTGGAATCCAAATATGAGAAATGTATCAATATATTTACTATTATAGATTATAAGTCTAATAAGAATGTGCATTAAAACTAAGAAACTACTTTTTATGACATCATTTGGAGCTTAAGCACTTGCTTATTTGTGTGCTTCCAATATTTCAACAGTAAATTTATCTCATTAAATAATAGCATATTAATATTACTAATGGAAATGGAGAAGGTAGTAAATTAGTTGATTTTCCAAAGTATACACTTTAAGCATTAAAAAATTCTCATGATGATTATTTTTTAGATACTACAACAGGAGATTTGTATACTTATAATAAAGTTACAGACGAATGGATTCCTAAATGTAATATTGGAATTCATCATAGAAGAGATGCAATGGAATATTAATCTATAGGTAAGTATATTGTAAAATCTCCTGCATATAAACCTAAATAACCAATGCTTAGCAATTAAACAGAAATGACTTGTATAATTAAAAAGCCATTTTTACATTATTGGTTGTTTACAGATGTTAATCTTGAGTTTTAAATTAAATAAACAAATACTTGGGATATACATACAATCACATTTACAAATCCAGAAAAAGTATTTAAATCAATTAAATTTTAGAGATTTTAATCATTAGCTGAAAATAATCTACGAGGTCCTTTAATCTTATAATGTGATAATATAATAGCAGTTTTATTCGAATTAGATTATAAATATAAAGATCAAATTAATCTATTATCAAATTTTATTGAAAATAGTATCAAAATAATAAGATATTCAAATATATATGTAATAAAGTTTAATATTTATAGAATACAATTAGTATTACTAATGAAAAGTAATTTTTTCCACCTAAAGGATTAGAAAATATAGAATTAATATTCAATTAAGATAAAATTAAGAAATCCTAACATTTATAAGAGGTTATGATGAAGAATTAACATAAAGAATATGTGAGAGAATATCGCAAATTAGTTAATAAGGCAATTCTAGATTCAGATAAAGATAGAGATAAGATATTACATGTTGGATTTTCAGTAAAGAAAAATCGTTTACCAGAGTATGTAATATACTATATAGAGTTGTTGAATAAAATAATATACAATAAAAAACATTGAAAGCAAATCAACGAAGATCATTTCTTGCTAAAAAAGAGAAATTTTATTTAAATTTTGAATCTCTTAAATTTATTTTTGATACAAATCAAAGTTATAAGAATTCTTCAACTAGTCGAAAACATTTAAAATTAATAACTGAACCAAAAGGTGTGACATTTTAATTGAATTAAGAGCCTGAAGATACGGGTTTAATATAAACTCATAGGGTTCTTTCTTAGGGGGAAATCAGAAAATAATTACATCCTTCACTAAATCAAGAATTCTTGGGATCTCAAAAAATTTGGATCCCTGGATTCTTGAAATAAAATAAATCTAAAATTTATTTATCATAACCAAATTCTGGTAGATAAACATTTTAATAATTATTTGATTGATTAAATTGTAATAGTTTTAAATAACTATATATATTTATATATGAACATTTATCATCATTATTCATGACACACATACTCTAACACATATTTAATTTGTTTAGAAAAGTTATCTTTTGTAAAACTATTTAAATAATTCTCCAAATCTTAACATATAATTTAATTTTACTTTAATATCCTATATTTATTGGATCTAGAATTAGATTTGATAGCCATAATTAATTTTTGTACTCTTAAATCAACTATAACAAAAGAGTTTGAAACTTAATTTATAATAAATTGAATACTTCTTTTGGATCAAATAAAGATATTGCAAATATGATATCAGAATTTGGTTATAAAAATTTTAGTATTTTTGGAAATGCTACTGTTACCATAAAACTTTATTTAAAAATTGATTGTAATAATAATTTTCCTTTAGAATAGATTTCAGAAATCTTTTATTTTATCATAGCTGTGTCTTATTCTTCTCCAATTACACTTTCTTAAATTAAAAATTAAATTGTATTAACAAATATTGTTGCTATCTATGACAACTAAATAGCTTCTTCATTTATTTATTCATCACCCTTCATAGATTTAAAATTTAGAATATCTTTTAAAGTACTTTCAGACAATTCAAATAATTATAAAAATATTTCAGCTCCACATTTGTATGTTAATGTTTCACTATGTTCTTAACAAATTCCTTCAAGACATTCAAAAAGATATCTTTTATATTTCATTAAATTTTAGAATAAAGGTCTATATACTGTAATGAGTTATAATTATTTTTTAAATAAATCTAAGCAAACATTAGATTAGTAAATTATAAAAAATCCTTAATTTATTTATTTAGAATGTGAAATTTGTCCCATCACTTTCATTAATTTTGCAGCCATTTTCAAAATATTATCTTAAACTTATTAACCTTAAGATAAAAATGCTTAAGCTTATGCTAATAAATGATTGATTGAAGTAATGAAATAATTGGTTGCTTGTCCATATATTTAATAAAGTACTAACTATATATTTTCATTTGATAATCTTGTATTTCTACATTCAAATATATGAATTACTTGTTTTTGAAAATTGAACATATCAAAGATGTTAATCCAATTGACGAATCGAAATCTGTTACAAAGATTTGAGTATGATCTGGATGCAAAATTTGTGATATATCAGGTAAACTAAATTACTTTTATTAATAATACACAATGCGTAAGAATATTCTATATATCTTATCTAGTGATAATTCATTAACTAATCCAATCATGTCCCATATGTATTTTAACATATTTATTTTATTGATTTCAACAGCTATTGACTTCTTAATTTGCTTATAAATGTCCACTAAGGCTGGAACATAATCATCCATTTAATCATCAACCCAAACAAGTGAAATCAATTAATAAACTAATTTTCTCTTTTTAATATTTTAAACTTCATTAAAACAAGTGAAATCCATTTAGAGAAAGAATTATCTCAACATATTATTTACTGAACTTGCTTAAAATATCCTTCTATCAAGCTACCTCTTTAATCTTTTAATATTAATAGATTTTTTACTTTTCATATGTAAATTACAATATTTAAAAACTATATTCTACCAAATCAGGATCATTCAAAGTAAATATTTGATAACTTAATTAAATCAATTTTAATACCATTGTTCTAAACAGCTCTCCATAATTGCTAAATAATTCTATTAAGTTCCTAAATCACGAAAAATACTTGTTTATCTATACTAATATAACATTAATTACAATTAAGATTAAGAAATAACAATATTTAAGTTTTCATCATAATATACACCTTCTACAGTTTGTGTAATATATGTTTGGATAAATATTAAATTACAAGTGTGATACATTTTTAAAATTTATTTCTTCTCAATATCTTATTAAGTAGCCATGACTGGTAAACTTAATTTATTAGAAAAAGATATAATTTCCAAAATGTATATGATTAATTGTCCAAACTAAGGTGGTCTTTCTTATTTATTTTATTGGCCATAATAATCATATCCAGTTAATAACTCTCCTTATGTTGGACTTATTACAAATGCTGATATTAAACATAATAGTGAACTGAATTTTTCTAGAAATCAATAAATAAAAGTACAAATTGTAATCAATTATTCTTGTTCTGTCATTTGATTAATTTACTAAAATTAAAAATAATTAATACTTAGATTGGTATTTTTTTAAATGATTCCAAGAGTAAATTTGTACATTCAACAGCATTTTATTAATAAACTTAAGCACATAATCTAAAGCTTTTATCAATAAATTTTTTAATTTTTTTAATTGGAATGCTTGTTGGAATATTTGCAAAAGGATTTCCATTATAGAATGCTTGAATAAGAAGTTTAAAGCTTAAATTAATAGAATTTGATAGATTCAAATATTATGTTGGATATTGTTATTTATATGAATTAATTTATATCTAAAATTAATTCCAAACTTCTTGCAATTTTATAAATACACTATTTGGTTATATCCTGATTTAATAATTACTTAAAATTACTTGATTCATTTGATTAAATTATATTACACATTAATCAAATAAATCTGAAAATTTATTCAATTTTTTTAATGTAAAGTTAGACTATTTTAAGAAATATATTTACAACTAATTTGATTGCAAA